CAACAATGAGAAAAACTTGTACCGTGTAAAAAATTTCAGAGATCTTACCACTAAGTTTTGTTGTCTCACCTTGACTTTGGTGATTTGTTTATATCTGTTGATGTAAATATAAAAAAGAAGATGTGGTATGATTGCCAATGAGATAACTCTCCACAAGAGACCAAATGACACAGAAATTAACAGCTATAGGTCACAGTATGGCTTTCAACAATGAGCAAAGCCCATACCGCACAGTCAGCTATAAAAGGCCCCGAAATGACAATGTAAAACAATTCAAACAAGAAAACTAATGGCCTAATTTATGTACAAAAAATGAACGAATATAACAAATATGCAACACATAAACAAACGACAACCACTGAATTACAGGCTCCTGACTTGGGACAGGCACATACATGTACATACAGAATGTGTCGGGGTTAAACATGTTAGCGGGATCCCAACCTTCCCCCTAACCTGGGACAGTGGTGTAACAGTACAATATAAGAACGAACTATAAAAATCAGTTGAAAGAGGCTTAACTCATCAGATGGATAAATACAAATACAAGTGGACATGGTCGGGTAGTTGCACATCCAAAAAAAAAAAAAGACACTTAAGTACAGATCTGAGAGTACTCGCAGTTACTGACAGCTAGTTCAAAGCCACTAACAACTGATAAAAAAATCTTGCATCTAAGACTAAATTATCAATCCGTAAGCTCCCTTTAGAATTTTATAAATTTTAGATTTTACATTTCTGAGTTATGGGGTTTTATTGGGATTTTCCAGTTTTTTGTCGAGCCTGCGACTTTTGTCACAGAAAGCTCGACATAGGGAAAGTGATGTGGCGGCGGCAGCGTTAGCTAACTTCTTAAAAGCTTTATATTTTAGAAGGTGGAAGACCTGGATGCTTCATACTTTGTATATGGATGCCTCATGTTACGAAGTTTCCATCAGCCACATGTCCAATGTCCTTGACCTCATTTTCATGGTTCAGTGACTACTTGAAAAAAAAGTTAACATTTTTTGTAATGTTAAATTCTCTCTTATTATAAGTAGTAGATAACTATGTTTGGTATGTGCGTACCTTGCAAGGTCCTCATGCCGGTCACTCGTTTTCACTTGACCTCGACCTCATTTCATGGATCAGTGAACAAGGTTAAGTTTTGGTGGTCAAGTCCATATCTCAGATACTATAAGCAATAGGTCAAGTATATTCGGTGTATGGAAGGACTGTAAGGTGTACATGTCCAGCTGGCAGGTGTCATCTGACCTTGACCTCATTTTCATGGTTCAGTGGTTATAGTTAAGTTTTTGTGTTTTGGTCTGTTTTTATATATTGTATGCAATAGGTCTACTATATTTGGTGTATGGAATGATTGTAAGATGTACATGTCTAGCTGGCAGGTGTCATTTGACCTTGACCTCATTTTCATGGTTCAGTGGTCAAAGTTAAGATTTTGAGTTTTGGTCTTTTTTTATAATATTATATGCAATAGGTCAAATATATTTGGTGTATGGAAATATTTTATGATCTTTATGTCAGTCACGCAGGTTTTATTTGACCTTGACCTCATTTTCACAGTTCATTGCTCTGTTAAGTTTTTATACACCCGTTTACGGGACGTATTATGGTATACCGTTGTCCATCTGTCCGTCGTCAACATGTCGGACATTAAATCAAAAATGCTTTTACCAATTTGCATAAAACTTTGGTGAATTATTTATATCTATTGACGTGAGCTCCCTTTCATTTTTTATAAAATATAGATTTTACGTTTCCGAGTTATGGGGTTTTATTCATTAAAAAAAGGGGGATTTTCCAGTTTTCGGACAAGAAGTCAAGAATGCTTTCACCAACTTGCAAGAAATTGTGGTGAATTGTTTATATCTATTGACATGAGCTCCCTTTTGATTTTTATAAATTTTAGATTTTACGTTTCCGAGTTGCAGGGTTTTATTCATAAAAAAAGGGGGGATTTTCCAGTTTTCAGACAAAAACTCTAAAATACTTTCAGCAATTCTTATGAAACTTTGGTGAATTGTTTGTATGTATTGATATAAGCTCCCTTTAGAATTTTATAAATTTTACATTTTACATTTCTGAGTTATGGCGTTTTATTCATTAAAAAAAGGGGTGATTTTCCAGTTTTTGAACAATAACTCAAATATGCTGTCACCAATTCTCATGAAACTTTGGTGAATTGTTTATATCTATTGTAGGCTCCCTTTTTATTTTCATAAATTTCTAATATGACATTGAGAATAAATTGAACTTTATTTGTTTATAGTCTGACAACAGGTTTACTAAGTATTGCACAACAGCAAGAAATCTTTAATTGCATATTCAATTCATATAACCAATTTCAAGATCTTTGACTACATTTATTCAGAAACCTATAATATGTCAAATATTAATTACAATCCAAATTCAGACCTGAATCAAGCTTGAATATAGTGTCCATTTTTGCCCCAACTGTTCAGGGTTGGACCTCTGCGGGCGTATCTAGTTGTGTTTTGGTCAGTTTTTCTTAAACTATAAGCAATAGGTCAACTATATTTGTTGTATGGAAGAATTGTTAGCTGTACATGCCTGCCTGGCATGGTTCATCTGACCTTGACCTCATTTTCATGGTTCATTGGTCAATGTTTAGTTTTCTTGGTTAATGTTAAGTTTATGTGACAGTTGTAATAAAGCTTTATATTAAGGACTATCAACATAATATCAGTGATTAGTAAAGAAGGCGAGACATTTCAGCGTGTGCACTGTTGTTGGACAACAACTCAAAAATGCTTTAAGCAGTTCGCATGAAACTTTGGTGAATTATTTATAGCTATTGATGTAATCTCCCTATAGATTTTCATAAATTTCAAATATGACATTGAGAAGAAATTGAACTTTATTTGTTTATAGTCTGGCAACAGATTTATTAAGTATTGCGCAACAGCACAGTTTATTGCACAACAGCAAGAAATTTTTAATTGAATATAAATTCAATTCATATAACCGATTTCAAGTTCTTTGACTACATTTATTCAGAAACTATAATATGTCAAATATTTAATTACAATCCAAATTCAGACCTGTATCAAGCTTGAATATTGTGTCTATTTTTGCCCCAACTGTTCAGGGTTGGACCTCTGCGGGTGTATCCAGCTGCGCTCAGCGAATCAGTTGATTTCTTAATTAAGAACTCCTTTTTTCATTCATAAATTACTTTAAACTTGGAAATATAATTTTGCTTGGAGTTATAGTTTCTAAAAAAGTATTGTCATTGAAAGAGTTGACATGTTGCAATGTACATTTATTCTACATAGTTCTATGGTACCAAATCAAAAGTTTATATAAAAGAAAGAAGTCAAAGGTTTCCCATCACAGTTTAGTTACATACATTTTTTTTGTACCTGAGGTCGTTGAATATAGATCATTATATAAATAAGGAGATGTGTTATGATTGCCAATGAAACAACTATCATCCATACTTACTAGTAACAAACCACATTTGCAGAGTTGAATAAAATACAGTTGATAACATTTACTTATTACTAAAAAGAAAATGCCTAACTATTTTAAACAGTATTTGAATATCAATTATATGGTCATTTTTATAAACTTCCTGTTACAAAACTTATTTGGCACAATTTTGGGTTCTCAATGCTCTTCAACTTTGTACTTGTTTGGCTTTATAACTATTTTGATCTGAGCGTCACTGATGAGTCTTATGTAGACGAAACGCGAGTCTGGCGTATTAAATTATAATCCTGGTACCTTTGATAACTAATTTGACTATAAACATAGATAAAAAAGGTACAAACTGGACATAATGCACAAGTTCATAAACAAGTGAGAACAAACGCCTTCATATAGTGCTCAGAATATGACATTCATAAAACTTGTTCAATATCATTAGAGAACTCTAAATCTTAAATAATGAAAGCCACCTCTGATAAGTACACTGTACTATGCAAGATAATGATATAACTGGACTAAAAATACACACAACCTGTAATTAACTGCCTTTACAGCGCTTTCGCGCTTTGATTTTAACCCTCTTTTGTGTTTGGAGCAAAGGCTAAATAAGATAGAGAGAAACTGAACAGACTTCAATGATCAGCAATATAAGAAAAAAAAAAGAAAAGATTTTTGTCATTAATTCTATTCTGGTCTACAATGATGGAGAGTGTCCTTTGTTGAATATGCATATAGACCAATGTGAGCGACACAGGCTCTTTAGAGCCTCTAGTTTTTTATCTGACTCATATATCTGTATGCAGATTTTCATGAAATCGCAATAATTAATCTCAGATTTTTTGTCCATTCTTCAAAAATTGCAATGATAAATGAAGGCGATAATTTCTGAATTTACAGTAAATAAAAGAGTCTATAATGTCAAAGATTACCATCAGAATACAAGCAAAATCTCAGTTTCTCTGTATTAATATGCATTTATTTTTTGAAATGTTATAGAAAATAAAGAATTTGTAAATCTAATTATACACCCGCTTTAAAAAAGTGAGGGTATACTGTTTTACCTCTCTCTGTCCGTCCGTTCGTCCATCTGTCAGTCCGTCCATCGGTCCCATGAATATTTTTCATCGCATCTTTCTCAGGAACTACATCGTAAGGTTTCTTAAATTTGGTTTCAGGGTTTATATAAGTCAGCTTTACGTGTGATTCAGATTCATCACTCAACAACAAATGCATATTTGGGCGGGGGTATCATCAGTGAGCAGTGCTCGCAGTTTCACTTGTTATGGATGGTATAAACACATGCCATTTCCAGTAAACAAAGTGTATGATGTAGCAGACAGTTGATGTAGAGTATTGGTTCAATGTGTCATCCCTCTGTTTCATAGGATGATATATGCAGATGAAGCTGCTCTTTTGATTTAAAAAATAATAGAATAAACTTGATATATTTGAAAATGGATCAAAGCAATATTAAGCATTTATTGTAGCTTTGACTTGTAAAATGTTTTTGATAAAGACAAACATTAATAAAAGTTTATTAATTTCAGAATCAGTTGATGTGAATGTGACCCCTGATAAAAGACAAGTCTTTATAGAAAATGAAAAGATTTTATTAGCTGTCATTAAAGTAAGTATGTTTAGGTTGGTTGCTGTATGCTTAATGCCCAGTGGCCAATATTTGATGAATTTTTAGGGACAAAAACATTAAAAATAAATCAAATGGGTATTTTCTGCAAGATATGTGAAAAGCTTTTGCTAGGTTTCTTTAAAAACACAAATAGCATGACACTCTTCCTACATGAAACATCAAATTTATCATCCGCATTTGGAACAGATGTGACTGCATATTTACACATTATGCACAGCCTACTGGATCCCCTTTTTAGCATGTTTTATTTCTAGGGTGGTCTTTTTAACCATATATTTATCCCCTAGTCACCCCTTGATGTTCATAGTAAGTATGTGTAGATTATATGTGTATCAATACAGGTGACAAATGTCACATGACATCATGAAATAAAATTTACAACACTGATTTGAAAGCTAGATTTTTATAACATCAAGTTACATGTAGATGAGTTTACAAATCTGTTTTATTTTTTCAGACATCTTTGATAGAAATGTTTGAACCAACATCATCTGTATATAATGTTAATACATTACAGATCCTGGGTAAGTATGGTCAAAATAGAATTTGAAATTAAAAAAAATGAATAAAACTGCTATTAAATATTTAATATCAATTATTAAAAATTTTCTGGTATAAATTGGAACAATGACAAGTGAATAAAAAATGAATGTCTTGGTAACAAAATGGATATTGTTGGGTTGAACCTTTAATTTGTGATATTGTATAAGACTGCACAACAAAATTGAAAGAGATTTCTAAGAATTCTATAAGATGCAGTTTTTATGTATATATAACATATTGGTTTGCTAGCTCGACAGTCTTATATTTTCACCATTTAACATCAGACATAACATCTCCAGTCTTTGAGTAAGGCATACAGACAATAAATTACTGTATAGCTAGCATACAAGAGTGTAGGAAATTTTGATTAATGAATTGTTGTTTGCTTTTTGTCTAATGGCAAATATTTCGTGCATGTTCAGGACAAAGGAAAATTTAGGAAATAGGTTTATTATGCTTGATCCATACTTATACTTAAACTATGTATTCACCTATACATCAATTTGATATTAAAGTATAAATGTATTTTTTTCAGCTTAAATCTTTTGTACAACCCAATCTGTACACATAATGATACAAAATGTTACAATGAATGGTAAATGTTAGGGATTTCCTATCCTCTTTGGAAAGAGGTTATTTTGAATGATACTACCTTTTATTTTTCTCTCTAGGCAACACAGTGAAAACAAGTCCCTTTAAACAAAGGTTTGTAGCTTGAAAATAATCTGTTTATTGATCTTGGTAAGATGTTTATGTTTGCAATATTGAAAACATTTGGTAGAACTTATTATTTAGTATACTGTTTTTAGCTCACCTGGCCGAAAGGCCATGTGAGTTTTTCTCATCACTTGGCGCCCGTCGTCCGTCGTCGTCGTCGTCCGTTAACTTTTACAAAAATCTTCTCCTCTGAAACTACTAGGCCAAATTAAACCAAACTTGGCCACAATCATCATAGGGGTATCTTGTTTAAAAAATGTGTCCGAACACCCAGGCCAACCAACCAAGATAGCAACGGCTTAAAATAGAACATAGGGGTAAAATGTAGATTTTGGCTTATATCTCTGAAATTTAAGCAATTTTCTAGTTTCCAGACAATAACTTGTGGAACGGTGTATGGATCTCTCTGAAATTATACCACAAGTTTCCATACCAAAAAGGGATGGTTAGGATTGGCTTTGGGGGGTTATGGCTCAAACCGTTTAGGAATTAATGCAAAAAAGGGGGAAAAACAAGGGTTTCCTGGTTAATGGACAATTAAAAAAAAAACAATGTTATGTTTGGATTACCTCTCTTACACTGCTTTTAAATTATGTATAAAGAAATATTGTATTGTCTTGAGGTGATTAGCTGTCAATTTATTTTAGAAGTTACTATTTAAAATTGCTGATTAAGGAATATTGATTTTAGCCATGATTATGTATGTCATTTTCTATTTTAAGACTTTTATGATGTATTTAAATGGGTAATTATGGTTGCAAACTCCGTTGGAAATCTGAATTGAGATTATGACCATATCTTGAGGGAAAGAATTTTTAGTCCCCTAGGGGACTTTAGGTTTGCACTCCGTCCGTCTGTCTGTCTGTCCATCTGTCCGTCTGTCCATCCGTCAGTCCGGCAAATCAGCTTTCCACACTTTTTTTTCTTCATTCTTGAAGATATTGATTTGATATTTGGTATATAGTTTTATCATGACAAGTTATAGATCAAGTTTGAATTTTGTTCCGGTCTGATGATTTAGTCCAGAGTTATGGACCATAACACTGGACCATATCTTATGTTAGAGAACTATGTTAAACCATATTTCTGTACAAAGGGAGATAACTCATTTTTTAAAAGACATTCTTTGTTAAATTATTTGAAGAATTTTTTGGCAGGTTTGTTTGTTTGTTATTTAGTTTAAACTAATTTTCTGAATGCTATACATATAAAAAAAAAACTATGAAGAGAAATCCTTTAATTAGATAATAATCTATTTTTATTAATGTATATATTTCAATACATTACATTGTGTAGATAAAAGTTGTTGACATTTTATAGGTAAGTTACAAATCTATATAATTAGTTTGTGACAAATGAAAGAAAAAATATTTGGAACTATTAATTATATTTGATTATAATTTGAAAATAGATATACACTGCATTACATCATATCTAATTTTAGAGAACTATTAATCATATCTAATGTTTTTTTTCACTCATATAATCAGTTTTCTACACTGTTTTTAGTCATGCTTGAAGATATTGACATGATATTTACTTTTTGTTTACACCATGACAAGTTATAGAACAAGTTAGCATTTTGTTCCAGTAAAAAGGATTTTTTACCCGGTAGGGGACTATGTATTGCCATGCAATACTCTCAGAATGCTTGTTTTTTTTGGAAAAAGGGGGGGGGGGGGTGGTGGGGTGAGGTGAAAAAAAATTTGGGGGGGGGGTAAAAAAGAAATTGTGAGGGGGCGGAGACAATTTTTTCTCCTTTCAGATTTCATAAATTAAAAAGAATATTTCTTCATATATTTTTTTTTTTGCAAAAAAAAGTGGAGGTTTTTTTTTTTTTTTGGGGGGGGGGGGGGGGGGTCAATTTGCAACAGCATAGTGTATTGCATAAAAGCAAAAAAAAGGGGGGTAGGTTTTTTTTTTTTTTTTTTTTGGGGGGGGGGGTCAATTCGCAACAGCATAGTGTATTGCACAAAAGCAAAAAATTGTATATAAATTCAAATCATATAACCAATTCTAAGTTCTTTGACTACAGTTATTCTGTGTCAGAAACCTATTATTTGTCAAATATTTAATTACAATCCAAATTCAGACCTGTATCAAGCGCGAATATTGTGTCCATTTTTACCCCAACTGTTCATGGTTGGACCTCTACGATCGTATCCAGCTGCGCTCGGCGAAGCAATTTATTGGTTATTATCTTAAATATTATTATAGATAGAGATAAACTGTAAACAGCAATGTTCAGCAAAGTAAGATCTACAAATAAGTCAACATGACCAAAATGGTCAATTGACCCCTTAAGGAGTTATTGCCCTTTATAGTCAATTTTTAACAATTTTTCTTAAATGTTTGTAATCTTTTACAAAAATCTTCTCCTCTGTAACTACTGAGACAAATTTAACCAAACTTGGCCACAATCATCATTAGGGTATCTAGTTTAAAAAATGTGTTCGATGACCCCCGCCTGCCAACGAACATGGCCGACATGGCTAAAAATAGAACATAGTGGTAAAATGCAGTTTTTCTCTGAAACTAAAGCAAAAGTATAATGGTTGCATTATTTCATGCATCAATTGTAAACAAAAATTATCAGGTGAGCGACACAGGCTCCTTGGAGAATCTAGTTTTAATTGTAAATTTAATTTCAAAAAATGCATTTGCAACAGTATAAAAGTTATTTATTTGTAGCTCTTAAAGAAAATATCAATAACACTTACATTTTCCACAAACTTCATTAATGAGTGACAAACACAAGATAGTACAGATTACTAGTACTAATGACTTCGATGTTTCGATCACAACTAAGAATTTCAAAATGAGCGTAAAAGTGAAGAAGGTTTGCTATTTTATTTAAAGATATTTGAAACATATGGCTATTACAAATAAATGTACTGATATACAATAAATCATGTTAGATTTAAAACAATTCAATAGTCAATCAGTACATTATTTATATTTAAGAAACTAGGCTTTTTCAAATATGTACTTGGAGTTTTTTTAAAGTGATTTTTTTTCAAATGAAGTCATCCGTTCATTATCACTGAACTAGTATATATATTTGTTTAGGGGCCAGCTGAAGGACGCCTCCGGATGCGTTAATTTCTCGCTGCATTGAAGACCTGTTGGTGACCTTCTGCTGTTGTCTTTTCTTTAGTCGGGTTGTTGTCTCTTTGATACATTCCCCATTTCCATTCTCAATTTTATTCAAGTACAAAATCGTAAAGCTTGACTTAAAAAACAAAGATACGTAGAAGCATTTGTAACTGATTGAACCTTTAAAAATGGAGGGTGTTCAGTTCTGTTTTGATGTATAAAAAGCAGCCACCTCCATTTGGATATGGACTTTTAATATGATACCATGTGTAGAGAGAGTTTCATAATTCTAGCATGTAAAGGAACCCTTGAAACAACTCCCAGAGGACTTTGTAGGTGGCCTGTTGCATGTTAAGTTTCTGCCTCTATCAAACAAATTCTCATTTTCAATTGGCAATCAAATTTCCTGTCCTTCATCCTCAATTCACTTTGCAGAACCTACCAAACTGTTTCTCTGTTTGTATGTAATATTTTCCACTGGACAAACAACCATTAATCAATAGTACCTGTATTTGATATAGTGATTGTTTTCTGTAATTTTATGATACTACCTTGATGTGAAGTACATATGATAACGCTTATTTCTACATGTATTAGATACACTCATATTAGGCTGATTGGGACTGTTGAATAAACACCAAGATGTAATGGTCAATGCAAAATGATAGATTTCAATTATAAAGGAGGGAGTATTTCTTTTATGGTCAGTTATGATAAATGCAGGATATCCAATTACATTTAATGAAATCTTGGTGTAAAAAGTGTAGTTGTATACTATGTAATGTAACATATATATAAGCTATAGGTCAACTTGTACTAAAAACCAAAGGTTATCAAGGATGCTGTTTTGGAATGTGTAAATACATGTATATTTGTTTAAGTACTGCTATAGCTCAATCAGTGAAAAACATACACACTAAGAAGATTGAATTGAACCAATCCTGGATATGGCTATAATTTTGTTTATTTTGGTATTTTATGTATAACAATCAATCTGTATGTTATGCTTTGAAATCAAATCATTTAACTTAAAAACAACTATAGGTTGGTGTTAATATTAGAAAGTGTTATAAAATTTTGTTGCTTTTTTGTGTCAAATTGACCATGCAGTCAAATTTGTAAATTTGGGATTTTTCTCTTTTTTTTTAGAACAAAAAGCATAAAATTTCAACTTATTTGTTGTAAATGATTGGAAAAATACATATCAAAGAATTTTGAAAAGACAAAATTGATATGGGATGTACATATTTTTGGTAAAATCATTTTTTGTAGCCCTCACCCATTTTCTCAACATTTTGGCTGATGAAACTGACTGGATTGGTTATAAAATTTGAAAATTTTATTACTCAAAAACTACTTATTGTAAATACACAATTTTTTTCACAGAGTTTAGTTTGATTATAATATTTTTTAAATCCATTAATATTTTCCACTTGTATCACATGTTTTGGAAATTATGCCCGAACGCGATTTCAACAAGACTGAAACATCAGAAGAATACATCCTTAATTCAAGCATCTCTTTTTAAAGGGAGTGTTTTTTATGAGTTTGTACATATGTAGAATGATAATAAAAGAATATATATTTATATTCCCTGGTACTGCATGCTTACAAAATCTATCATTTGCATAATTTTATTTTTAGTTTGTTACTTTTGTTGTTTTTTTTTAGTTGTTATATGCATGGTACCAAAGCTTGCATAGGGTTGGCTGTACAGTTACACCACATCTACTTAAACTACAGAAACACTTTTCTACTCATTTTTTTTTTAAAAGGAGTATAGACCAATCTCTAGTTGTTTTTATGTCCCACCTAGGGGCATTATGTTTTTCGGTCTGTGAGTCCATCCGTCCGTCCGTTTGTTCGTCCGTCTGTCCCACTTCAGGTTAAAGTTTTTGGTCATGGTAGTTTTTGATGAAGTTGAAGTCAAGTCAACTTGAAACTTAGTACACATGTTCCCTATGACATGATCTTTCTAATCTTTCTAAAGCTGGAATCAGTTATATAATGGTGTTATCTTACCTTTTTATGTGAAATCTTTGAAGTTTATCGTACTTCAAGTTATCAAAATGTTCACTTTCACATATTTTAAATCTGACATGTGATTGATCTGCAGATTTGTACATAAACATATGGCCGATTGTATGATAAACACCAATTGAAAATGGATCTTTTTGAAAAGTAGGATTATAAAGTGTAAAGATTATATAAACGTTTTCATTTTAAGTTTGTGAAATATGATAAATGATTTTTATACGCCCGTTTATTGGATGTATTATGGTATACCGTTGTCCGTCTGTCAGTCCGTCCGTCTGTCCGTTGTCAACATGTCGGACATTAACTCAAAAATGCTTTAACCAATTTGCATAAAACTTTGGTGAATTGTTTATATCTATTGACGTGAGCTCCCTTTCATTTTTTATAAAATTTAGATTTTATTTTTCCATGTTATGGGGTTTTATTCATTAAAAAAAGGGGGATTTTTCAGTTTTCGGACAATAAGTCAAGAATGCTTTCACCAACTTGCAAGAAATTGTGATGAATTGTTTATATCTATTGACATGAGCTCCCTTTTGATTTTTATAAATTTTAGATTTTACATTTCCGAGTTACAGTGTTTTATTTATAAAAAAAGGGGGAATTTTCCAGTTTTCGGACAAAAACTCAAAAATGCTTTCAGCAATTCTTATGAGACTTTGGGGAATTGTTTGTATGTATTGATGTAAGCTCCCTTTAGAATTTTATAAATTTTACATTTTACATTTCTGAGTTATGGGGTTTTATTCATTAAAAAAAGGGGTGATTTTCCAGTTTTCAGACAATAACTCAAAAATGCTGTCACCAATTCTCATGAAACTTTGGTGAATTGTTTATATCTATTGATGTAAGCTCCCTTTTTATTTTCATGAATTTCTGATATGACATTGAGAATTAATTGAACTTTATTTGTTTCTAGTCTGACAACAGATTTACTAAGTATTGCACAACAGCAAGAAATCTTTAATTGAATAAAAATTCAATTCATATAACCAATTTCAGGTTCTTTGACTACATTTATTCAGAAACCTATAATATGTCAAATATTTAATTACAATCCAAATTCAGACCTGAATCAAGCTTGAATATTGTGTCCATTTTTGCCCCAACTGTTCAGGGTTGGACCTCTGCGGGCGTTTCTAGCTGCGCTCAGCGAAGCAGTTTATTAGCTCACCTGGCCCGAAGGGCCAAGTGATCTTTTCTCATCACTTGGCATCCGGCGTCCGTCATCGTTGTTAACTTTTTACATTTTGAACTTCTTCTAGAGAACCACTGAATGGAATGAAATCGAACATGGCATGAATGTTCCTTATGAGGTGCTGACCAAGTGTTGTTACTTTGAAGCTGATCCATCATCCAAGATGGCCACCAGAGGGGGACTTTGTTTAACATAGGACCCTATGGACAATACATACAAATGTTTTCTTTTAGAGAACCACTGAATGCAATGAAATAAAACATGGCATGAATGTTCCTTATGAGGTGCTGACCAAGTGTTGTAACTTTGTAGGCGATCAATCATCCAAGATGTTCGCCAGCGTGACTTAAATTAACATAGGACCCTATGGGAAATACATACAAATGTTTTCTTTTAGAGAACCACAGAATGGAATGAAACCAAACATGGCATGAATGTTGCTAATGAGGTTCTGACCAAGTGTTGTTACTTTGTAGCCAATCAATCATCCAAGATGGCTGCCAGAGGGGAACTTAGTTATACAAAGGACCCTATGTGAAATACATACAAAAGTCTTCTTTTGAAGAACCACTGAATGGAATGAAACCAAACATGGTATGAATGTTCCTTATGAGGTGCTGACCAAGTGTTGTTACTTTTTAGCAAATCCATCAACCAAGATGGCTGCCAAAGGGGAACTTAGTTTAACAAATGACCCTACGGGAAATATATACAAATGTCTTCTTCTAGAAAACTGCTTAATGGATTGAAACCAAACATGGTATGAATGTTTCTTTTGAGGTGCTGACCAAGTGTTGTTACTTTTTAGCTGATTTGTCATTGTCCTTATAAAGTCATTTTCTACAATTTCAATGAATTTATTGATAATTTCTGTAAACTTTACAAAAGTCTCATGCTTTTGATTAAATTACGGGGCCAATATTAAACCAAATTTGGCTTCAATCATTATTAGGATATCTGTTATGATTTTAATCTATTTTTATATGATTTCCAAAACCAAAGTAGAATCAGGTGAGCGACACAGGCTCTTGAGAGCCTCTAGTTTATATATTTATATCATTCTGTATATGTGTAAGTACATGGTGAATATAAACGGGATATGTAGAACAGAACAGGAACTTTCTGTTTGTCTACCATTGAAAGAAGCAAAATGTTTTTCTGTATTTTTCTCGCTCACATCAAAAAGCATTTGATGTCTTATATTTCCTCAGGCCAACATGTGCAAAATTTAAGACAGTCCTATTAAAGTTATGGAACTTGAAATTGGTGTATTGGACTAGGGTTTACAGATCTTGAGATGTTAAATGATTAATTTGATGCATGTTTAAGAAAAAGAAATATTTTTTACAGTAGAAATTGATTTTAATGTGTGGTAAATGTTAGTATTTTTATGCCCCACCTTTTAGAAGGGGGCAATATGTTTTCTGGTCTGTGCATCTGTCCTTTCTTTTGTCCCAGATCAGGTAAAAGTTTCGATAAAATAGTTTCCATGAAGTTGTGGTCACACTAACTTGAAGCTTGGTAAACATGTTCATTATGATTTTAAATTTAATGCCAAATTACGGTTTTGAACCCATTTTGTAGTTCACTGAAAATGGGATGATGCAAGTGGGGCATGGTGTCCAATGGACAAGTATTATTGTTAATAGTGTACTAAGCTCAGTTCTGATTAAGAATGTGAATAAAAGAAGATATTGGGTATAAATTCATAATATAGCAACATACCTGCCAACCTTTTGAAGCTACAAAGTGAGAGATCTCCCTCATTCTAGCTCCACTAAGGGGAAGAGTACTGGTATTTAGGATAAGCTTTTTTAATTCAAAATTGTGTACTGAAATACAAAGTATTTTAATATTTAAGCATACAAGGATGAAATTTAATTATCTTGACATGAATTTAATTAGTAAACCACTTTCTTGATCAGATGGGATGGCGTTTTACTAAATAAGTAAGAACAATTTTTGCAATGCAGTATACATCAAATATGGATATATTATCAAAACAACTCAAATGATGAAAGGGGTTGAAAATAAGGCTTTTTTTGTAAAAGAGGGAGATTTGACCTCCCATATAAGTGACAGATTCAAAATCTTTACATTTGATTTATTTTCTGATTTTTTTTTCAGGGAAAGTAGTGAGTTAAATTATGAAAGTCCAGTTTTGTCAAAGGTACATACATAGTATTTTATAGATAAGTTAATTTAAAAGTAGTTTCCTCAGAATCTTACTCACATAAAGATCTTTTGCACCTCCTAATTATTTTCTTTATCCAAATGATTTTGAGGTAAACTTTGGCACGAGATGGACTTTGTCATGTCCGTCCAAACCAGTTCACATTCCTATACACTTTTCTTTGATACAAATTGAAAAATGTAGTACAATCATCAACATATGATGTCATTGTGCACTTCCTATATGTTGTTTTATCTGAATTATAGCAAATTATGGACTTTACCATTGCATAATTTCAGTGAACCCAATTTTGTGATACAACTCCTCTTTTACCCGATATTTGTAAATTTTTTATACTTTTTTCAGAATCTCAACCATATACTTCCATTTTGCAGCTCTTATTTTGTTTTTGAACTGAATTATTTCTGTTATTTCCCTAAGCAAAACCTTATATAACAACATCACATGTCTTTGTTTATTACCAATATAAAATTGTATGAGTTCAAATTTTAATTACTGTAGAAAGAAAAATGGAACTGACTGAAAATTCCTGTTGTACTCCCACAAGCGAACTGTACATTTATTAAAGGGGGGTCATAAGTTGGAAATACTGGAACTATTCATCCAGTTTATATTTAAGAATTTGTTAACTTAAACTTGTAAAATTAAAAGAAGGTAATTAGCAGACAGTTTCAAAGATGATACTGTCAGCCTGTCAGTTGTAAACTCAAACTGTGTACCCTAGGTTCTCTTATGTTAAATGTTCATAAAAGTTTATTCCACATTGTATAACTACAATGTAATAACCAAGAATTAATTAACACATGTTATATTTTTGGTTATTTCTTTCATCCTTTTGATACATATGTAAAGTTTATAAAAGAGAATTAAAGAATTACTTGCATGTTAACTAATTAGTAATTCCAATCTAATTAAAAACTGATCTCTCATCACTCCCGTTTTTTATATGTCCCACATGACATATCAGAAAATGAGAGCGATGAGAGATCTGTTTTTAATTAGATTGTAGTAATTCATTTGTGTGCTTTTCAAAGTTGTTTAAAATGTGGTGTTTTGTTTTTTCAAAACAAACAGTGACAAAGGACAAAGTGCACTATTCACCATTTAATAATAACTAAATAGCCATAAATACCTGCAGTTATTTCATTACTTTGTATAAGGGTTTATCCACTTTGTGTACATTTGTATATTTTTGAAAGATGACAATCATTAAAGACTTATGTTTTTTTCTTATTTAAGTGTTCAGTAAGCAGTGCATTTAATAATTTAAAGAGAACATTTAGTAGCAGTTTCACCAAAGATGAGGAAAGTGCAATATCACCTGTGAAAGAGCAACAAAGTAAACGTAAGTTAACAACATATTACCTACATACGAGTATATATTACCTTTATACAATGGAAGTCAAATAACCAAGATTTCTTACATTAATCTAAGTTGGAGCCCTTACACTTTCAGAGATAAAATCAGTCAAAAGTTTATTAAATTAATCCAAAAACATATTGCATTTACAAAAAAATTGTCACATAAATATTTCTTTCATTTTTAAATTGTTTGATTTCTCGAAATTCCATCTGCAAAATTCTGTTTAAAATGATACGGTATTGCTTTGAAAATTTCTGTTTTAAGAAAATATTAGAATGCTGGAAATGAACAAATGCTACATACATGTGACATATATCATGTATATTGATTCATAGATATTCCAATGCAGTTTAGCTTCTAAATGCATAAAAAAAAAGTCATAAAAATCTGAAATACTGTTCAATTCTGTACACTTAACCTTTATTGGCATGCGATACAGTTTCAATCCCATGATGAATTTTTTACGAAAATTTGCATACAAGCTATTTTTCACCAAAGCAATTCAAATATGTAATAAAAAAAAACATACCTTCATGTGCTACTAAGAGATGAAAGGGGTCTAAATTTTAGACATTTTACTCTAAATTTCGTTTTTTTGGACATTTCTATCCTTTGAATAGACACACCTAACTTTTTTATTTCAACAGATAAACACACGCAGATTTTTGTAAAAACATTATGAAAATCTTCTTTACTTAAATATGCTTTTAATATGTACAACAATTCTTTGGAAATAATTAATTTTTAACAAATATAAGATTCAAGATTTTAGGAAAAAAACGGCTTTTTTTGCGGTATATTTATCAAATTAAAAAAAAATTTAATGTTGACTTTTTCAATCAAATTGGTACATATAATCTTCATACGTAATCAAACCTAATGCCATTTTAAAAAAGAGGGATTCATGTACTCGTTTCAAGTTAAATCAGTTTAAAGCATAAAAAACAGTAGAAAAATGCATTTTCTCGCGATATGTCACAGTTTGACGTCGCGAAAATAACATTTTACATTAGCAACGTCATTACCTCCCCTGTAACTGTATTGTATGCCCTTAAGTAAATTGAAGATACTGGCAATGGTTTCTTAATTGTCATAATTTCCATACTTGATTGCTCTTTTAAATGAATGTGTATATAGAAATTCACTGGAATGGACCATGCAGAATATTTCATATGGTCAAAAAATAATTTAAGTGAAAATGTTCTTTTTTCTAGAATAACAAAAAAGAACAATCAACAGTTACATCTAGATATTAGACCAGATTTGGTGCCATGATTTATCTCATTATTGTGTAACAAACACATTATATTAGTGGAAGTTCATAATTCGGCAGTTATATATAAATAAGAAGATGTGGTATGAGTTCCAATGCGACAACTCTCCACCCAAGTCACAACGTGTAAAAAGTAAAAAAACAAGAAACAAGAAACACTTATGAACTATATCAACAAAAGTATTGAATAGTTGAGTCTATAAATAGCATTTTTTGGCTTACATCTAAATCAGAGTAAAGATTTATAGTTTAACTTGACTGTAAATTTCTATTTTAGAGAGAAGACTTGATTCTTTTGTCATTGCATCAAAAACTTCAAACCATACAGAAGTGAAAGAATCTTTTATTGAAACTAAACCAACTGTCACTACAGAACTCGAGGATTCCCAAGACTTATCTGTTACATTTGAAACAAACAAATCTTTACTTGAAAACACTGACAACCAATGTGAATCTCAAAACTCATTTATAGTAAATCATGAGAAAAGGGAATTAACTCAAACAGATTCTGAATCAGGAATCAGTAGTTCACAAGACCAGACAGATTCCCAGTCATCAGTCTGTGTGACAATATCATCAGACAGTGATGTACATCATCTCTCTCAGGAAATATGTGAAGATCATTCAGGAAGTTTGGAAACAGAAGAGGTGATATTATTAAACCCTGATGCAGACAATAGTAATAATGTTGAATGTTTAGGCTTTAAATCAGACAAGATAGAATCTAAGGCAAGTTATTTGTGTTCAACTGCCACCAGTTGTGTTCAAGAAGAATGTTTAAATGATGAAGTTGATGGAGGATTGAAAGCTACTATATATACTGATGCAGATGTTTCTGAAGTAGATTGTTCCAGTCCTGATATGAAAAAAGAACCAGCACCATATTTACAAGTGACTAGTTTTGTAAGTTAATTAGTTAAGGCATGTAAGGAATCAATACATTTAAGTCAGATAGATGTTTATATGAATAAGTAAGCTTCAAAAATCACATAAAGTTTTTTTTTTTCATTTTTTTCTTCATGTTGGTAGCTTTAATTACATGCACTATTTGATTAAAATCTTAGAGATTGGGATCATTTCTTACCTTGAAGTAAATTCAGTTGTGTTGTAGGGTGAAGGTGTCATGGCCTCAACTGCACCTTGTCACACAATATTTAAAACAGAAAATTCAATACTCAACTTACTTTAATAAAGCAAGACTGAAGTTTAAACAAGCAAGATAATATATTTTGTTAGAAGTAAACAGTATTTATTGCCATATTTACACAATACTATTTATTGCCATATTTACACAATACTATTTATTGCCATATTTACACAATACTATTTATTGTCATATTTACACAATACTATTTATTGCCATATTTACACAATACTATTTATTGCCATATTTACACAATACTAGTTATTGCATAAATTATTTGTTGATGGAAACAAATTAATGATTATGATTGGTTCTTAGTCACTAGTGTCATGACTGCAAATTTTTTCCAATGTTTCTAATAGAAATAAAACTTCAAGTCTTGTTTCATCAATTTTAAACATCTTCATACATTTTTTTAAGGATGAGAAACTAGACCACAAGAGAACTGAAAAAGTAGTTACATTTGATTTCCATGGATTTAGAAATAGAGTGCAGAAGAGGAAAAACAGTAAGAATTATTGATATTTTAAATATTTTAACAAAAGCCTTGATATCACATTTCACATTTAAAGAATTCAAATATGAATTTTATAAATTTATAGCATTTTATCTGATTTTGATTATGTTATTATTTTGCAATAGCACCTAGTTCTTACACAAAAATCTTTGTAACATGTTCTGTTTAATCTTTTGAGATTTATATTTTGTTACCTAAGGAAAGAGTGAAGAAAGTTTTTGTCGTACATTCCGAGCCAAGATATCACCGACAGATAACAAAGCCGCTGAGGAGGAATTACAAAAAGAAATTAGGTAATGAAAAAATAAAATGTTGAGTAGGTTTAATATCAAAGAGACAGCAATCCATCAACAAAAAACCAAACCAAACTTTTACAATCATAACTTTACCATTTTGAATGTTAAGTTTTTTTTATCAAATGTCCATGTGGATTTATAGGTAATGTTTCTGCCTTGATTTTAATATCCTCATTCATTCTTGCAATTTCTTTACTATGGATTCATTTATATTCGTTGGTTCCAATTTTCATGGATTTAGGAAAACTTGTATGTTCTTGGATATATAATTTCATGGGTTTGGTAAAGTCTGCATACACCTCTTTTGAAAATTTGTAAATCGTTGAACATTTAAATTTGTGGTTCCCCTGTACCCATAATATCCACGAAAATTGGTATCCAACAAATAATAATGAATCCACAGTACTTTGTATAACTGTTGAAAACCTGAGAAGTATGCTGATATTTAAACGAGTTACAGAAAACAAATATAGAATAGTGGCATTTTTGTTTTTGATACTGACTTTATCAGCAAGAATATCAAGCAAGCCCGTTAGGGCGAGCTGATATTTGAGCTGATGAAGTCAGTATCAAAAAATAAAATGCCATTATTCTTTTAATCGGCAATTTGTCTTAACTGCATGGTTTTTTGTTGTTGAGAATATGAAGTAAAATGAAATGGTAAATAAAACTACTTTTACACTTACAAATTGTTTGGATAGTTCTTCGGTTGTATGAATGAAGTCGTGTGCATTTCATTGATAAATTGACGTGGATGGACTTTAACACGTGATGTTGCTGCACTGATACATGGCGTCATTGCCTAATATTTACGAGTATCAAGTCCTGTCCATGATCTTGAAAATATTAAGCAGTAAGGTCAAAGGGAAAATGTACAAATTGCTGATAAAAAAGAAATATTAGCAGTCGCCTCTGATTATTTTTGTTTGTAAAAGAATTGATTAAATATTTGGTAAACATCGATGAGAAGGCAGCCCTAAAAAAGATGGATATCTTATCAAAAATATCTTATTGCCGTTATTAGGCTTGTTAAAGGTGAGGTGTTGCTTATGAGGCTGAGCAAATTTTAAATCAATTCCAGTCTAGATGATTTCTTAATGAGGACTGAAACAAAGTAGATTTTTGGAAGCATCAATGAAACCTCAACCTAACAACACAAAAGTTAGATGACATCTATGGTCAACATAAGATCTTGATATACTGTTTAGTTTAAGTTATGTGAAACAATGTGCTAAATTATGTTTTTGTCTTTACAGTAAGGATATGTTTAAACAGATGGAAATCCTTGGACAGGTATTTACTTGTTTTATTAGCTCACCTGGCCTGAAAGGCCAAGTGAGCTTTTCTCATCACTTGGCGTCGTCTGTTAACTTTTACAAAAATCTTCTCCTCTGAAACTACTGGGCCAAATTAAACCAAACTTGGCCACAATCATCTAGTTTAAAAAATGTGTCCAACGACCCCGCCTGCCAACCAACATGGCCGCCATGGCTAAAAACAGATTTTGGCTTATATCTCTGAAGCTAAAGCATTTAGAGTAAATCAGGTAAATATGTTAATAAGGTTTAGATCTGTCTGCCCTGAAATTTTCAGACGCATCAGACATCTGCCCTGAAATTTTCAGACGCATCAGACAACCCGTTGTTGGGTTGCTACCCTTGAATTAGTAATTTTAAGGAAATTTTGCAGTTTTTGTTATTATCTTGAATATTATTATAGAAAGATATAAACTGTAAACAGCAATAATGTTCAGCAAAGCAAGATCTACAAATAAGTCAACATTACCAAAATTGTCAATTGACCCCTTAAGGAGTTATTGCCCATTATAGTCAATTTTTAACAAATTTTTGTAATCTTTTACAAAATTCTTCTCCGCTGAAACTACATAGACAAATTCAACCAAACTTGGCCACAATCATCATTAGGGTATTTACTTTAAAAAATTTGTCTGATGACCCTGCCTGCCAACCAACATGCCTGACATGGCTGAAAATATAACGTAGGGGTAAAATGCAGTTTTTGGCTTATATCTCTGAAACTAAAGCAAAAGTATAAAGGTTGCATTATTTCATGCATCAATTGTAAACAAAAATATTAGTGGAGCGACACAGGCTCCTTGGATCCTCTTATGATCTACAAAATAATGATCCTTTAACTGTCTGTAGAATGATTTGTATTGAAACTTTGAAATTGAAACTATCGATTTGTTGTTTTTTAAATAAAACCATGCAAAAGACACTAAAAGTTTTATTCAATATAACTTACCATTTTTTTCCTTTAAAATGTAATATCATTAAACATTGATTTTTCCATAGTTCAACCTAGGATTTATCATTTCCAAGTTGAGAGAGGACCTGTTTATTGTTGATCAGCATGCTACAGACGAAAAATATAACTTTGAAATGTTACAGCGACATACAGTCATTCAGAGCCAGAAACTGATTCAGTAAGTAATGTGACTTGTTACAGTAACATACAGTTATTCAGAGCCAGTCAGAAATTGATTCAGTAAGTAATGTGAAATGTTACAGCGACATACAGTCATTCAGTCAGAAACTGATTCAGTAAGTAATGTGAAATGTTATAATGACATACAGTCATTCAGTCAGAAACTGATTCAGTAAGTTATGTGAAATGTTACAGGGACATACAGTCATTCAGAGTCAGAAACTGATTCAGTAAGTAATGTGAAATGTTATAATGACATACAGTCATTCAGTCAGAAACTTATTCAGTAAGTTATGTGAAATGTTACAGGGACATACAGTTATTCAGTCAATAAGAAACTGATTCAGTAAGTAATGTGAAATGTTACAGGGACATACAGTCATTCAGAGTCAGAAACTGATTCAGTAAGTAATGTGAAATGTTACAGGGACATACAGTCATTCAGAGTCAGAAACTGATTCAGTAAGTTATGTGAAATGTTACAGGGACATACAGTCATTCAGAGTCAGAAACTGATTCAGTAAGTTATGTGAAATGTTACAGGGACATACAGTCATTCAGAGTCAGAAACTAACACTATAATTTATTTGAAGTGTAACAGCAACATAGTCATTCGGAGCCTGAAACTGAGTAATGTGAAATAATTAAGTGGAGCTGTATTAAGGACACAATTTTATAAAAATTAGAGGGGGTGGGGTGGGGGGTAGAAAGAAAAATGTCAACTCTGGTTTTAAAGTGAAATATTTCATGGTCGTACATGGTCAATAACAAGAGGATGTCTTATTTTTCACCACTGAACATAAAAATATGACCCTGTGACATCAACTCTGTCACGTGATATGCTGTTTTCATTAGTTGAAACTGTCATTTGTATTTGGCTCCAGCACAACCTTTTACACTTCACCATATAAAAACTAGTAACAGTCTGAAATGGCCTGTATCTGTACTAGACTATACTGAATTTTACTTGACTAGTCTGAATTTGTCTGAACTTTACTCAATATTACTCGACCCCAATCTTAACTATACTCAACTGTACTGATTTGTACTTGACTATTATTTTTGCGATTGAAGAATGTCTGAATTATTACATATACAACTAACTTTACAGCCCATTTGAGCTTTGATTATAGTATGCTGTTATGCTGTGCTGTTACACCAATTTTCAAGGATTAGGGTTTAGCCCTAACAAACATATTTAACCATATGACAAGGGAGGATTGCACTCCAGCAAACATGTTTAACCCCTCAACACTCCATATGTCTTCCCAAAGTCAGGAGCCTGTAATTCAGTGATTGTCATTTGTTGCTATATATCAAATTATTTTTAAAATCATTTGCTTTTATTATCATCATGTATATTCCATCTTGTTCTTGTGAAATAGAGTGCACACATTTTTCATTTTACAGTTCTTTCATGATCGTTTAAAATTTTTTTTTGCTTGATTTTTTAATTGAAAATTAAGTTAATTTGATTAAGCATTTCTCAAACGCAATATTTGTATGGAAGTTTTATAGTTAACTCTTTTACTTAAATATTTTGATTCTAAAGGTTATGCTACAGAGTTAGTTTTTCGAACGCAGTGATTCATGAAATTTAGTGCCCTCTATCGGCTAATCTTGATCCGTCCAATTACCAAAGCGTACCATCACAGTTAATTTTATTCTTGTTTGCATATCAAAATACTTTTGTTAATCTAATTGGAGTATGGTTTTTGTTGAGCCTACGACTTTTGTCGCAGAAAGCTCGACATAGGGATAGTGATCCGGCGGCGGCAGTGTTAGCTAACTTCTTAAAAGCTTTATATTTTAGAAGGTGGAATATCTGGATGCTTCATACTTTGTATATGGATGTCCATGTTACGAAGTTTCCGTCAGTCACATGTCCAATGTCCTTGACCTCATTTTCATGGTTCAGTGACTACTTGAAAAAAGGTTTAGATTTTTTTGTAATGTTAAATTCTCTCTTATTATAAGTAATAGGATAACTATATTTGGTATGTGCGTACCTTGCAAGGTCCTCATGCCCGTCAGACAGTTTTCATTTGACCTCGACCTCATTTCATGGATCAGTGGTTATAGTTAAGATTTTGTGTTTTGGTCTGTTTTTCTTATACTGTATGCAATAGGTCTACTATATTTGGTGTATGGAATGATTGTAAGGTGTGCATGTCTAGCTGGCAGGTGTCATCTGACCTTGACCTCATTTTCATGGTTCAGTGGTCAAAGTTAAGTTTTTGAGTTTTGGTTTTTTTTTCTGATACTATATGCAATAGTTCAACTATATTTGGTGTATGGAAATATTTTATGATCTATATGTCAGTCACGCAGGTTTTATTTGACCTTGACCTCATTTTCAAGGTTCATTGCTCAGTGTTAAGTTTTTGTGTTTTGGTCTGTTTTTCTTAAACTATAAGCAATAGGTCAACTATATTTGTTGTATGGAAGAATTGTTAGCTGTACATACCTGCCTAGCATGATTCATCTGACCTTGACCTCATTTTCATGGTTCATTGGTCAATGTTTAGTTTTACTTGGTTAATGTTAAGTTTATGTGACAGTTGTAATAAAGCTTTATATATAGGACTATCAACATAATATCAATGATTAGTAATTAAAAAGGCGAGACATTTCAGCGTGTGCACTCTTGTGGTAAACCTTACTGTATTTGCAGATCTGCAATAAGCCATGTTTATTTCCATGTGGTAATTTGTTGTATTAAGATATAGCATTATCCGACTGGTATTTTGTATGGAAACAGTTTAAAAGAAACAATCTAGAATTTGACATTTTCTGTAAGATATATGGCAAAGTATTTTTCCAGAGCTATCTTGCTTTGATTCATTCATTGTTTTGAATATAAATCAGGCCATTATTTTTCTCTTTTGAATTGTTTTACATTTTCCATGTCCTGGCCTTACATAGCTTGCTTTGCAGTAAGGGTTTTGCTCATTGTTAAAGGCTGTACAATGACCTATAGTTACTAATTTCTACATCATTTGGTCTCGAGTGAAATGTTGTCACATTGTCTCATTAACAATCATCATACAACATCTTATTTTTTTATATTATGTGCATAGCTACAGTTGTAGGTAGAATATATAGCTTTATGCTGTTCAAGAAATTAAAAAAATCAGAAACAGCATTGATATTTGATTGAAATCAGAAGTAAGCATGTATTATATCATTAGAGAGAATATTTTCTCTTATGGTTGTGGCCTGTTATCTGTTTCTTAGATATAAGAAGATGTGGTTTGAGTGCAATTGAGACAACTCTCCATCCTAGTCACAATTTGTAAAAGTAAACCATTTTACACTAGTAATTTTTTGGGGCCCTTTATAGCTTACTGTTCGGTGTGAGCCAAGGCTCTGTGTTGAAGACCGTACTATGACCTAGTATAATGGTTTACTTTTATAAATTTTGACTTGGATGGAGAGTTGTCTCATTGGCACTCATACCACATCTTCTTATACCCATTATATGTCAAAGTAAGGTCTTCAACACGGAGCCTTGGCGCACACCGAACAGCAAGCTATAAAGGGCCCCAAAAATGACTAGTGTAAAACCATTCAAAAGGGAAAACCAACCATCTAATCTATATAAAAAAACGAGAAACCAGAAACACTTATGAACCACATCAACAAATGACAACTACTGAACATCAGATTCTTGCATGAATAGATATTTCTCATAGCATACTGCACGGACTGTGATTTTGTCCATGGCAACGGACATATGTAATTTCTTCAATGATATACAAAATAACTCACATATTTCACCTGAAAATCTTCTTTTTGTCAAATTTTATTACATTCTGAAGCACTCAAAAAATCTTACAATGTCTGATGTTAAAGTTTGACACCGGAAAAGGACATACGACGTCATACTGGAATGTGCAAAAGACCAGACCAACATTTCACGGAATTTTTGATTTAACACATTGAGAGTGTTGACCATAACAGAAATAGGTTTAACAACTTGTGAAAATTGGATATAGCTTGATATCAACAATATACTTAATTTGAAAAGTAATGATAAACTTGCAGAAGGCTAGTTTATTATTATATTGAAATTAAATAACTCGAGTTGATATCAAGCGATATCCCATTCCAACTCGTTTTGAAACCTATAATTATTACAAATCAAACAAAATGGTAAACATAATCCACCTATAGTTTATCAAAATGTTCTGATCAGTTGTTTGAACGCCTATACACTTTTAATACAATTTAAAACTTGCCTATACTTCCTGCCTATATTTCTTCTCACAATATATTTAAGCACACACCAAAAACCTTTACTTGTACACTTTTTATCATTTGATGGAAAATATTCTTCAGCGTACATGTATATCTTATTCATAAGATAAATTGAATTTTACCAAGTATGTGCCTGGGAAATCACAAATAAAACCTGATGACTCATTATGTTTACTAAAACAAATACACCGAGGAAGCTCAAGTTCATCTTTATTGATCAGTTCTTTTCTCTCCTGTCCATCTTTTGATATTACTTTTATACTTTGAGATCCATTATCTGCTACAATAATGTTACCATAAGTATCTGTACAAAGTCCCATTGGTTCTGATAAATCCTGTTTATATTGCCAGATCTGTTTACCTGATCCATTCACACAGTAAATTGTTTTACCCATATAATCACTATAGATTACTCTGTCATTACAGTAAGCAAGGTGAAACAGGGATGATTTACTCTCAACTTGTATTGACTTCAGTGTATTTCCTTCAAGGTCTATGATACGAATTTCATCTTTCTCCAAACCTACAGCCAGGGAATTATTGGAGAATGATATTCCATAGCATCCTTTGTCTAATTTGATAACTTTGGTAACTGTTTCATTCTCTATATTGAAGATCTTAATGGCCCCCTCACAAGGATAAGTCATGGCCATAGTATTCTGGTTGATCTGTGTGACACTTACGACTCGACCAGATATTGGTAACTCTTTCTGTAGTTTGCCATCAGAAGTAAGCAGATTAGCAGTATCATTCTGTTTAACTACTATAACTCTACCATCCATCAGACAAATCATGTCACTAATAAACTTCTCCATGTTAATATCTATCTTTGTCTCAATATTCATTGTCATGTTGTTTATGTTGGATTGCTGTCGTGATTGTACTTGTGCTTCCCTCTTCACACTTGTTTCTCTATTCATAGGTATATCTGTTTTAACAACAGTTACTTCTCCTAGGGATTCCAGTGATTCTAAATTTTTCAGGGTCTTTTCTATTTCATCATTTTGCTTCATTTTAATGTCAAACATTTTAACCCTGTCACCATTATGCAGATCTTCAACATATCGTTGACATTGGTGTACTTGTTGTTCAATCTGATGTACACCTAGGAATGATTGCAGTTTTGAACTATATGTTGTGACAGTATGTAGATAGTCTTTCATTCCATCTAGTTTTCCTCTCTTTGCTTCAATTTCATTAATCAAATCTGATGCATTTGATTTTTCTTTATTCAGGATGGTGTCTGTTTCTTGGCATAACTTCTTCTCTAGTATGTCTAAATGTTCATTTATTTTCTTTCGGAATTTTATAATCCTGCCCTTGATGCTGTCACACTGTTGTTCACCTCTTTTGATATTTTCTGATTTGTTGGTCTCAATTTTATTCAAGATGTCTAAGATGGAGTTTATATCTTTATCTAAAGATTCTTTTGATTTTTCCATTTTGGTTTCCTCTACTACACTAGCTAATCTTTTTATCCCAGAACATTTTGAATGGCTAGTAGGAATACATTCTTCACAACAAGGCATTAAATGACCGGGGCAGTACAAGTTAAGCTGTTGACCATGTTTGTCACATTCTGTTTTGATAGTTTGGTTTGATGGTTTATAACTTTTAATATCAATGGTCTTATGATGATGTGATAGCATAGATCTTTTATGGTGACCTGAGCATGTTAAGCATAATCCTTCTTCACAGTTATAACACCAGAACTCAGCTTTTGCGTTTACTTCTCCATAGTGACAAGGCACACATGGTATAGGTTTACTGGATGCCATGACCTATGCTGAAATAAAAAGTAAATAATTTGACGTTATTGGTAGGATCTAAAAGGTATATATTAAATGCTATTATTATGTCATCTTATTCATATATAATTATCTTTAAATCTACCTTAGAAGGTTGCACAAATCTGTAAACTTGTACAGTTTCTGCAAAAAAAAATCTGATTATATTCTTTAAGGTGATCAGTGCTTTTGAAACTTAAATTGGTTCTTATGTGTTCTGATGACAACATTGGGGTCACATACAATATTGACTAGTTATTGCCCTTCATTGGTATAACAATTACAAACTATATAGATAATTAAAACCTATTTTGTTGTCAACAGTCTTGGTCAGATATTGGCTCTAAGTTATTCTCAAATTTTGTTATTTGAGGAACTTAGTTTGACAAGCTTTTGCTAGTCTCTGTTAAGTTTATCATAACTTTTTTAGATTCTGTTTGTTTCAGACTGCATGTTGATGAAACGTATTTTGGTTTTTGCACTGTGGGGTTCCTTTTTGATTGCTATATACCCCCTTTTTTGCTTTGTATCCAACGTTTCTGTTCAGTCATAATTGCTATATAATACCCACGTTTCCTTTTAGTTATAATTGCTATAAATCCCACATTTCCTTTAAATCATTCCCACATTCTTGCTTTTATACTGTTTTATTGTAGTCATAATTTCTGTGAACCCCAGATTTCTGTTTAGTCATAATTGCTATATAATACCCACATTTCCTTTTTGTCATTGTTGCTATAAACCCGACATTTCTTTCTAGTCATTTCTTTTATACCCAAGATTTCTCTTTAGTCATAATTCTATATACCGCACGTTTCCTTTAAATCATATTTGCTTTACACCCAAAGTTTCTTTTTAGTCGTACAGTCGAACCTTCGTTGTGTCAAAAACTCAGATGATTCGTAGTAATTTCTCTGTCCTGGTAATATTCCTGTTTGATTAATGCATAATTACCTCTGATGTGTTGAACTTGGTTGATTCAAATACTCTATTAAGTCGAGTACATTTTATAGTCCTGTCGATGTTAAATTAGTGTTAATTGACCCCAATGTGTCGAAGTTTGAAAGTAAGAATTTTCGAACCTTGATAACAGTTAAAATGTCATATTTATGGTGACTGGTAATTAACACCTTTGTTGATCGTCAAAGCGGAATATTAGTTTATTGAACATATTTCACCTGACATAAAAACAAAACGAATTTGAATGACCCAAGTCGAGATTAATTGAATTGTTAGAATTAACTTCATTAATTAAAAAAAGTAAAAGGATTAAGACAATTATGATTCATTTCATAATAATTTAATCTAAAGCAGAAGACCTCATCAGAGACTGTTCATAACTTGTTTTCGTTCTGCGAGTGATTTCATGATTTATAGTGACGAACCTTTGTAAATATTTGTGTATACTATTGATTTCATTTGAGTATGATTCATATATCTGTACTTGTGTGTTTAATTATTATAATGGACCTAAAATATGGAGATTGAATACATAATTATAAAGTGTCATATCGAAAAAAAGGTACTGTTCAAAGTAATCTAGTTTACACAAATCATATAATGTATTTCATGCATTCCAAATTTATGATGACACACTTGACCTTGGATAAGTCAAATACTTTGATCCAGTCCCTTCAACTTTGACATAACGAGGTTCAACTGTAACTGCTATTTACCCCATGTTTCTTTTAGTCATTATTGCTATATATATATACTCCACATTTCCTTCTATACATAATTGCTATATATATATATACTAACTAGATACCTTTTGGTGTATGGAAAAATCCTTTCATTTGTTCATATGACAGTTTAAATTCATTTCCTTCAACGTTGTTTTTCACAATGTTGTCCTACAAGGAAGTTAATTAGGACATGTTTATACCTGATTCAGGTAAACATTTAAATTCAGGTGATCAATAAACATTTAAATAACCTACCTAATATCTTACAATGAAATACGATATATTGATGGTACAAGGATAAATTAAATCATTTGTCAGATCAGATCTATTTATGTTATATATTATAATGGTATTTGTGAAATATTTCTTGTTATATCTCTATATTTAAATCATATGTTCACTAATGTAAAGTGTAAGCTTCTTATTATTTCAATATTTTCTCTTCCTCAATCATATGCACCAAAAATTATGATAGTAACAAAAAAGATAACTTGGTAATGATACCAAATTTTTCTGAATCTTATATTCATAACCCTTGCAATGAAGTTGGGTACAGGGTTAAATGTTTTGGCCTATCCATGGGTCAGTCTATTCATAACCACTTTATTTATTGCCATTTCAGCTCCTTAATTATTTTCTCAAGGTTCTCTTCCAATTTGTAGGAAATTTTGAATTCAACATAACCATGGATGAGTTTGATAATAAAATAATCTGAAATGGGGAATATTTTGGAAGGGGATATTTAAAAAATTTCCAAAATAATGCATGGTCATAATGGCTGTAGTTTCATTTTTTGGGGTTTCCACTCATCAATAACACAAATCAGTTTAATAATTCGACAATCTTAAATGTTTTGGGGAGATGGACTAGTACAAATTTTTCATATTAATCCTGGGTTCATCTGACCTTGACCTCATTTTGATGGTCCATTGGTCAGCAGTATGATTCAGTGTTTTTGTCTATTTCTTATATACTGTAATTATATATACATGTATAAGCAATATATAAACTATATTTGGTTAATAGAATGATTGTAATATATTCTTGTATCTGGTAGGGTTAAGCCAACCTTTTCCTCATTTTCATGGTTAATTGGTCAATATAAAAAAAATATGATAAGGTCTGTTTCTCAGATGCTTTAAGTAAAAGGTTAACTAAATTTGATGTATGGAAAAATAATAAATTCTAATGCAATTTGTTTGTAACGATAATTTTCATTGGACGTTTATAAATATTTTGAAGGGTTAAATTCCAGGTTCTATTAGTAGTTCGTAACTAAGAAACCCACTATTTTCATTTCCGATTTTATTTGTGTTCAATTTCTCAAGAAATAAACAAGGAAGTTACATTTTGTGCCTCAAAATTTTCATATTTTTTCAATTTTGAAACCATTCAGAAGCGTACGAAAAGTATAAATATGTGTAGTGTTTATGTTTGACATTGGGAGTATAGATATGACGTCACAAATTTGTTTAGATACCAAAGACGATGCAACAGTTTCGCGGACTCTTTCATTTATGGCATTTTTATAGCCGAAAGAAATAGTTATTAAATGGAATTTATTTTAATATGTGGCATAAGAATGGAGATAACTTGTATTGTATTTAAAGCTTGGCCTTTGCTATGCGTCACTAGGTAAACTCAATTTGTGACAGTAAAATGTATGTTTTACGAGGGCCAAGCTTAAAATGCAATACACTTATCTTCCAAGTGTCCATATTTATCTTGCAGGATTTATCAGACCTCATTTTCATGATCTATTGGTCAACATAAAGTTTTGGTGTTAAATGTTTGTCTTAAAAACTTTCAACATAAATTCTATCATGATCAGTACTAGTTGAGCTGATGAGCCATTTCTGAGTGTGGACTGTAGTTTTTGTGAGCATCCATTTTAAAATTTCAATATTTTTTATTAACCTTTAACACAAAAGCTTATAATGATTTTAGTCTTGTTTATAGCGATTATTGAGTCACAGAATGCGAGATAAAGTAATTTCAATCCGCAGTGGTGACATAAACTATTTGTATAAAGCTTTATATTTTGTTGGATAGAAGACCTGGATGCTCATTTTCATGGTTCAGCAACTACTTGAAAATTTTTCCTTATTTGTCATGTGAAATTTTCACGTATTTAAGTAATAGGATAACTATATTTGAAATATGGTTCTTTGAAAGGTCTAAATGTCTGTCAGACAAGAATTCTCTGACCTCAACCTCATTTCATGGATCAGTGATGAAGGTTTAAATTTTTGTGGTCAAGTCTATATCTCAGATTCTATAAGCAATAGGTCAATTATATTGGGCATGTTGAATGATTTTAAGGTGTACATATCAAACTGGCAGGTTTCATCTGACCTTGACCTGTTTTTCATGGGACATTGGACAATGTTTAGTTTTTATTGTTTTGTCTACTCATTTGTAAATACCATAAGAAATTTGGCCTTTATATTTAGTGTATTGAATGATTGTGGCATGTCTGTTTGGCTGTTTTCATATGACCTTGACCTCATTTTCATGATTCATTGGTCATTGAAAGTTTTCATGGTTTTTGTCAGTTTATCAGCTACTTTGAATAATATGTGATTTATATTTGGTGTATTGAATGAATGTAAGGTGTACAAGTCTGTTTGGCAAGGTTCATATGACCTTGGCCTCATTTTCTTGTTTCTTGCTTATAGTAGATATAATCTGAACCCTATCTGGCTATTTTAATTTTGGAGTAAAAGACTTGATTCGGTGGTAACTTGTGAATTTAATACACCAAAAAAACGGAGTCAAGGAGTCGACATTGGGAATTTTACTGAAAATGGAGGGCAACAAACTTTTCCTTGGAGCTTCTATAAAGTGAAGTCAGGGCGACAAAGTTGTTTACCTCTTATGGTATGGTGACCCCTTATTTTATTTCCATTGCAATAAAAAACTGTTGTGTGCTTGCTTCTATATATATGCACCTACTCAACTTTTCCTTTTCAGCACACTTTAGATGTTTATATGTGCTATGTGCTTTACTTTATATATATTTTTATCAATTTGTGCTTTTAAAATAAATTGAAAATGTTAAAGCAAATTCCTAAAAAAAAAAGAGAGTACACAAACACACAAACAATTTTCCCTATTCTTTGTCTTGTAGTCCACAGAGTCTAGAACTGACATCCAGTAATGAAATTATACTAATGGAGAGTATAGAGGTATTCCGAAAGAATGGATTTGATTTTATTGTGGATGAACAAGGTAATAGTAAAAAACAGATAATTTGTTTTATTCAAAGTTATCATGGTTTATTAAAAACAAATATATACAACAAATGCTCTACTTAGCTTTTGATGGACATGTATTACAAAGGTAAAAGTATTCTGTATTTAAAGAGTTAAAGGAAACAAAATAATTGTTTGTCTGTTCTGTTTGTATTAATGTCAATAATTCCTCAACTAAACATGAGTATGAAAACTTTATTTTATCAACATTTTAAAGAAAATATTGTACTCCCGCAATATAACCTTGTACATGTATCTTCTTTCATTTGTACAAAGACTTAGGACATTTTGTTCAGTTTACAAGTCTTTCACATGTAAATGCCAAATTGTGTATATGTAATATTGACCAATGACAAACTGAGATTAAACGAACCACACGTTGATTAAATAATAATAATCAACAGGTCAGGAAAAGGATAAATTGGGTAAGAATTAGAGAAAATAGTACACCAAAATTTCTATTAGTTTGACAATAATAGTTTTCATTTAACAGATTCACAGATAAATATCTATCAAGCTGACTTTAATTGACATGTTTTGACCAAGCTGGACAATTGATAGTTGTAGAGGTTGTGAATGTCCAGTTAATGGATTAATTGTTTTTATAACATGTCAGCATATGGCATACATGCATACATGTACTTAATTTTACGTACATGCAGTTTCAACTCTTAATTAAAACATCCTTTCTAGATCTATTTGTATGATTTTCTTGATAGATAGTTCCCTGTGTTATTTGATTCAATTTTATTAAACATATCAAGAATATATCAAGATATATATATATTTTGAAGCCCATCATATCTTCACATTTCTTCTTAATTTTTACAAGGGGATATAAATAGGAATTCTGACATCAGTGTCCAAGGGAAATTATCTTTGATGTATTATAATTGTAATATAATGGACCTTCAGAAATCGTTGTTGTTGATTGGATGATATTGAATAATAAAAGAAAAATGTGTCTGAGGATACGAATGCCTCCTCTCAAGCTTGCTTATAATATTTGAAAATACTTTTGGGAAATACGGATGAACGGATGTTCAAGGGTAACACTTAATGCCCCTTTTGCTTAGCGCAATTAGGGAATATTGTATTGAACAAACCTAAGACACGTAATGTGATTTCATGACTTTTTTTGCAGGACAATTTATAAATATTACAATAATTTTTTGAAACAATGTGTAGAGCAGAAAGTTTTATATTTCTTTATAGAAATAAGAAAATGTGGTACATTAAGACAATTCTCTGCCAGATATAATTGTTGTTTTGTACACATTTAACATTCATAAGATTAAACATTTATTTGATTGAAAGGAGGTCAACTTCAATAGGACAGCAAACCAACATCACGAGTAAAGCAAATCAAAATCTAGAATCACCTTATAATAGTCAAGAGACAACTCTTCACAAGAGACCAAATGATAGAGAAATTAACAGCTATAGGTCACTGTACGGCCTTCAACAATGAGTAAAGCCTATACTGCATAGTCAGCTATGAAAGGCCTCGTAATGACAAATGTAAAACAATTCAAACAAGAAAACTAATGGCCTAATTTATGTACAAAATAGTGAACGAAAAAACAAATGTGTTAACACAGCAACAAAAAACAACCACTGAATTACAGGCTCCTGACTTGGGACAGGCACGTACATACAGAATGTGGTGGGGTTTAACATGTTAGAGGGCGCACAACCCTCCCCCTAACCTGGGACAGTGGTGTAACAGTACAACATAAGAATAAACTATAAAAATTAGTTGAAAAAGTCTGAACTTATCAGATGGATACAAATAGAACAACATCTAACAAAAAAACAGAGTGGATGTGGCCGGGTACTTGTACATCCCCACAACAAAAAGACACTAAGTACAGATCTGAGAGTACTCTCAGTTACTGACAGCTTGTTCAAAGCGAATAACAACTTATAAAAAAAATCGTGTGAATTTACTTAACACATATTTAACTTAATTCTTACACAGAGACCAAATTCTCAGAAGACAAAAGCATGAAGAGACAATTTGTTGCCTGATTTTGGATAGGAACATATATTTGTGACAAGGTTGAACCATGAGTGTTCTTCTCATACTTCTCCCTGAGTCTGTCAGATCAGCCGAAGAATTCAGTTATTGATCAAGTTCTATGATTAAATCAACAACAATTAAATTAATTGTATCATCTTAGAATATCAAACCAGCTACTTTATATAATATTTCAAAAATGCTTTAACTGCCAGCTCAGATTAATTTGTCTGTACATATTGAAATTCATTCTGCTTTGTTACTTTTGATTATCTGCTTTATTTAATATCCTTAAACAAAGAAAAGTATAAATATATTATTTTGTTGACAGGTGAACCTACACAGAGAGTAAAGTTAATTTCTACACCAGTCAGTAAAAACTGGACATTTGGAAAAGATGGTTAGTCAGTAATATATAACATATAATTTTATATTGTTATTCTCTTCAAAAATATTATTTTTACGACAGAAAAGAATATAAGGCCAGTCAGTACATAAGATGTTGATTTCACTGAATGCACATAATTTTCTGCATTATTAGCATTGGCACATCTCATTTGTATTCTGATTTGGACCAGCCCAATAGAAATGGTTTATTAATTTGATAAATTTCAATATTTTTTTTATATTAAATACACAAAGTGCTAGCATCAGATAATGATTTTTCAAATATATTTATTTTTCAGATATAGAGGAACTGATCTTTATGTTAACAGATTCACCTGTGAGTATATGTTCAATTAAGATAGAATTTGTTAATTAAAGAGAGAAGCTTCTTGTCTCATTGACTACAACAATAGATTTAACACCACTTATCGGAGAATTGGCCAATTACACTGTCAATGGAGGTTGACAGGATGCTGGTATACTTTGTGATGGTCTTTGGTCACTCTATATTAGACTCAGCCTTTAGTTTTCTGTGTTCTGTTTTGTATACTGTTGTTTGTTTTTTGGTTGTTTGTGCATTTTTTGCCATGACATTGTCAGCTCATTTCGACTTGAGAGTTTGATTATCCCTTTAGTGTCTTTTGCTTCTCTTCTACCAGGTGATTTAAATGACTCATGGATATCTCAGACTTTCAAATACTCTTTATGTTTAGTTCACATTCGTTTATCAAATTGTCCAATATTTAAAAATACATTGTATTTATATAGGAAACTTGAAATCTAATATTTGGTTACACAAAGTAACTGCTTAGGATTTCAGCCAAAAGTAAAATAACAAAAATACCGAACTCTGAGGAAAATTCAAAACGGAAAGTCCCTAATCAAATTGCAAAATCAAAAGATCAAACACAACAAACGAATGGATAACAACTGTCATATTCCTGACTTGGTACAGGCATTTTCTATGTAGAAAATGGTGGATTAAACCTGGTTCTATAGCTAGCTAAACCCCTCACTTGTACGACAGTTGCATAAAAATTCCATTATGACAACATATGTGAACAAAACACACAAACAGAAATGATAGGTATAAATGTCAAAATTAGTGGTACAGCGGCCAACATTGTGTTACAATCTTAAAAACAAACAAATATGTCAACAAAGAAAAAACAAAAAGGCATATAGACAAAGCACATTAGCTAAAATGAAAGACAAAAATACAAAAATTCACCACAGCACAACAACGCAATAACGGTATGTATAAGTACCGAGCTACGTCAAATGGATATTACCAAAAATAAGCTAAACAGTAAAAGTTATAATTTACAAAGACAAATAAAAGAATACTGAAACACGTTATTAAGATGATAAACAACGTCAGTACCAAGAATCTATACTTCAAGACCATCGTGTATTATTTGTGAAGTTGATACGGAATATTTATCAACAAGGTCTTGGTATCTTCCGATGAACTTTTTTAGAAAAAGGACAAGACGTTTTTTGATATAACCCTGGTTCATCAACTTTCTGCTCAGAGACTGGTGACGTTTTACAAAGTCTGAGTAGCAGCTGCAAGCTCTTGAATACCGAATGAGATGAAAAATGTACCTACCATATGCAGGCCATGCTGCCATTATTTAATCACAATGACATTAATTTATCCCTCTTTGAACCTAAGAAATCCCATTCTTCTCTTGAGACTGATCTTACTAATTTAGTGATAAAATACTTATTTCTGAATTGTTTCATTATTTGGAATGCTTTGAAAGAATTTATGTTTCTTTTTCAAATGTTGCTCATGAATCATAAAATGTTTCAAATTTGTTTTTTCTTAGTTTAAACATCAGTAGATAAAGACACAGTAGAACATTTGTATTTAGTCAATGAATCTAAGTGGTTAGAGTCTCAAATTTCATTTTGCCGTGATATGGCTTCAACTTCATTACTTAAGTATAGGTTCTACTTTTTTTCAAAAATTCACAAGACTCCATTACTATAACTTATCACAACTACCCATTTAATGTATAATAATTTGATGATACAATGTATAGAAATTTTGCAACAGATAAAAGTATTTACCCAATGTATATTGTTAGGGTGTTATGTGTCGTCCATCCAGAGTACGACAGATGTTTGCCTCTAGATCATGTAGAAAGTCCATAATGATTGGTACAGCACTGAAAAAAGCTGAAATGAAAAAGGTAATTGTCCAGCTCATTTCATTTGATAGCAAAATTATGCATTATTTAGACATTCTTATGTTTTACACCTTCAGGCAGAATGTTAGATAAAGAGTGTTTCTTTAAGAAAATTGCAAAAAAAGAGGTAACATCAAGTTGTAAATAGTATGTTGAAATAAAATTATTTGCCAGTTTTTCATTTCCTCAGACTTTTTCAGAATGAAAGGACAATTCAAATTGTCAAAACTACATTTTGAAATTCCTAGGAAACATTTAAAAAATTACCAGAATGTCACATGCATGGGCAGTATAAAAACTTACAAATATCAAACAATTGTGTGTGTGTGTGTGTGTGTGACCTTTAACTGGTTATTTCTTTTTATATTACAGTTAGTTGAGCATATGGGCCAAATTGACCAGCCTTGGGTAGGTTTATGTTAACTTTTGTCGCTGTTTGCTTATCAAACAAAGATGTAGACACTATCTAATATTAAGGCACTGGGCATAGCTGCCAAAACTAAAATGAAACAAACCAAAATCAGAACTTACACACAAGTACTGATTGGTTGATTGTTGATTGCTTAACATCCAGTGGCAAATATGTCATTCATGTTCAGGAGAAGAACAAATTAGCAATAAACACAATATACTGAAGGTAATGCACATTAATAAAATATGAAGAAAAGTTTTAAATTGTTATCTTTACAAATCTTATTTAATCTTTACCAACTACAGACATAATTGTATATTATGCAAATTTGTCTTTGTATGCTTGGTGCCATTTATATCAATTCCAATATTAAAATTGAAAAGTAAAAAAAAGAGACTTTTTTACACAACTCATGAAATTAAATTTTGAAAAATTAACATGGGAAAGGAATGTAATACATAAACTGATATAGTTTAAGCTCTCCTGGCCTGAAGTGCTTGTGCGACTTATTGCCATCAATTGTCACCCTTCCCGCCTCTTACTTGTCTGATTGCAACCAAACTTTGCTATAATCATCCTTTGAATATCTAGTTTAAGAAAAGTTGTCTTTTAAACCTTCCAGCAAAACAACACAGCCATCATTTTTCTTTAAAAAGAACATAGCGGTAAATGCAAGTATTGTCAATAATCTTAAAACAGCAAAGTTGATCAGCTAGACAAGATCTAAAAAATAAGTCAACACAGCTGACATTGTTTTTAGACTATTCATTTTATAAGAGTTATTGCCATTGAAAGACAGTTTTGACACATGTGTTGCATTTTGCAATAATCTTGTAAATTAGAACAGATAGAGAGAGAGAAACTAAAAAGTGCAAAAATAATCAGTCCGTCAATCTTTTATTATACCCCACGCAACGAGTTGCGGAGGGTATAATGTTTTTGACCCGTCCGTCCGTCTGTCCATCCAACTGTCTGTCCGTCTGTCAGTCCGTCAGTCCTATTTCTTGTCATCGCAACTCCTATCAAACCACACAACAGAATTTCACGAAACCCTTTTAGATAATAAAGACATACTATGTAGTTGTGCATATCGACAGGAAATTACGATTCAATTTTTTTTCTAGGAGTTACGCCCTTTTGAACTTATTTACTTTAATGTACTACTACAACCTTTTGTCATCGCAACTCCTCTCAAACCACACAACATAATTTCATGAAACTGTGTAGATAATAAAAACATACAACGTAGATGTGCATATCGACAGGAAATTACGATTCAATTTTTTTTCCAGGAGTTACGCCCCTTTGAACTTATTTGCCAAATATACTACTGCAACTTTTTGTCATCGCAACTCCTCTCAAACCACACAACAGAATTTCATGAAACCTTTTCAGATAATAAGGACATACTACGTAGATGTGCATATCGACAGGAAATTACGACTCATTTTTTTTCCAGGAGTTACGCCCCTTTGAACTTATTTGCCCAATATACTACTGCAACCTTTTGTCATCGCAACTCCTCTCAAACCACACAACAGAATTTCATGAAACCTTTTCAGATAATAAGGACATACTACGTAGATGTGCATATCGACAGGAAATTACGATTCAATTTTTTTCCCAGGAGTTACGCCCCTTTGAACTTATTTGCCCAATATACTACTGCAACCTTTTGTCATCGCAACTCCTCTCAAACCACACAACAGAATTTCATGAAACCTTTTCAGATAATAAGGACATACTACGTTGATGTGCATATCGACAGGAAATTACGACTCATTTTTTTTCCAGGAGTTACGCCCCTTTGAACTTATTTGCCAAATATACTACTGCAACTTTTTGTCATCGCAACTCCTCTCAAACCACACAACAGAATTTCATGAAACCTTTTCAGATAATAAGGACATACTACGTAGATGTGCATATCGACAGGAAATTACGACTCATTTTTTTTCCAGGAGTTACGCCCCTTTGAACTTATTTGCCCAATATGCTACTGCAACCTTTTGTCATCGCAACTCCTCTCAAACCACACAACAGAATTTCATGAAACTGTGTAGATAATAAGGACATACTATGTAGATGTGCATATTGACAGGAAATTATGATTCAATTTTTTTTTCTTACACTTATTTTATTTCTCCAATGACAATGTGGGGACGTGGGGTATGTGAGCGCGCTCACTAAGGTTCTTTAATTATAGATGTTGCCCTTAATTAAGGAGAAGTAGATATAATTTGGTGGTATTTCAAATCTAAATATAAATATGTTTTGTACTCATTAAGAACATGTTGAACTGTACTGAACATCGGACACATAAACTTTCTTTAATGCATTGCTAGGGTTTTTATTCTAAAACTGGTAGATTACCACAAATTATAGAAAACAACAGCAGACAACTTGAAACATACCAAATTTTCATCAAATTACTTACCATTTTTTTTCTTGAATTCCCCTGTTGAGAAAAGGTTGTGCTGAATATACTTGATGAGCTTGAACTGATTCTGATGACCAAAACTTCCAATTCCTCAGGAATGGACCACAATTCTTAGACAATAAATAAAGACTGGAAATTTCAATATGATAATGAATTATGAATGAATTCTGATATACAATAGCAATTTTCATTTAACTATCAAGTGACACTAAATCATGGTATAAAATACTCTTCATACCGAAAAAAGTGTTTTAAAGTAACTGATAATTGGTTTACTGGTGATATTTGGTATGAAATTATTTTGAGACTTTTGACAAAGAATCTAATCTTTTACTTGCTCAAAACGGGGAAACACTTGCTTTCCCACTTTGATTTTATATTGTTCTGTAAATGAAAAATAGCGTCTGGAATACTTAATTACAAGCATAGTGTCTTTGATGATTTTCAACTGAACTTTAGAATCTAGTACCTGTTGATTCTAAATACAACCAGATCAATCTCTTTATCATTTAAGGTAAAACATGTACAGTTAAACAATTGAAATTGAGTCTCCTTGAAAAACAAAATTATCAGATAACCAGAGGACAATAAAAAAATCAGAAGTAAAAGAATGACACACAATACCATGGCCAAAAGAAAAAAATGAAAATAGACTAGTCTTCAAAACAGTACACAGAAAACACCATATTGAACTTCTCAAACCATGTATGAATGAACATGCACTACAAACTAGTAGAAGTCTGAAATGTCCTATATCTTTACTCGTCTGAATTGGTCAGAATTTTACGCGCTATTTCTTGACTGTACTCTGAAACATACTTAACAGACTGAACTTGTACTCGACCGTTACTTGACCAGTATTTAACCATTTTATACGTGTCTGAACCATACTCAACCAAATTTTTTACCAATTTCTACCTAGTTGATGCATACTCGACCTATTCTGGACCAACCTAGACCTATTTCAGTATCTATCTATTGTATTTCATCAATTTAGGAACTATTTTCAACAACAGTTAATTGCCTTGGCTAGAAATTTGAACAACAATTTGAAATTCAAAATGTATTTAATACAACATTGAAGCTAAAATTTCACAAACATATCATATCATAATCATCATAATTATGAAGGTTTAGATGGGGGTCCTTCGTTTCTGTATTGAATTCTTTAGGCCATTTTTTCCTATTCTTTATTCTTTTTGCCCATTATTCTCTATTCTATATATTAAAGCACCTCATTATTCACTATTCTTTTTGGGCCAAGTGAGCTTTTCTCATCACTTGGTGTCCTTCGTCCTTTGTCGTCCTCCATCGTCGTCTGTTAACTTTTACAAAAATCTTCTCCTCTGAAACTATTGGGCCAAATTTAACCAAACTTGGCCACAATCATTACTTGGGTATCTAGTTTAAAGAATGTGTCTGATTAACGGGCCCGCCAAACAAGATGGTTGCCATGGCTAAAAATAGAACATAGGGGTAAAATGTAGATTTTTGCTTATATCTCTGAAACCAAAGCATTTAGAGCAAATCTGACACGAGGTAAAATTGGCCATCAGGTCAAGATCGATCTGCCCTGAAATTTTCACACGTATCAGACAACCCATTGTTGGGTTGCTGCCCCTGAATTGGTATTTTTAATTAAATTTTGGAGTTTTTGGTTATTATCTTCAATATTATTATAGATAGAGATAAACAGCAATAACGTACAGCAAAGTAAGATCTACAAATAAGTCAACATTATCAAAATTGTCTCTGGACCCCTTAAGGAGTAATTGACCTTTATAGTCAACTTTTAACAAGTTTTTGTAAATTTTTGTAATCTTTTACAAAAATCTTCTCTGAAACTACGGAGACAAATTTTATTAAACTTGGCCACAATCATCATTGGGGTATCTTGTTTAAAGATGTGTCTGATGACCCCGCCTACCAACCAACATGGCCGACATGGCTAAAAATAGAACATAGGGGTAAAATGCATTTTTTGTCTATTATTTTTTGAACTATTATAAATAAAGAAATTCTGGAAGGATAAAAAATGTTCAGAATAATGAGCTCTACCAATTGTCCATATATGTCAAGACTGTTAGATAAATTCTTATATGAGTTATATTGCCCATAAATGACAAATTTTACCATTTTTTCATTTTTGCCTATTATGAAAACTATACTATTTAGAGAGAAACATTTTTTTCCCCCGTTAAGCCTTATATGATTTAGATTATAATAAATAAATAGACACAATAAACACAATCACAAAAATGATCAGCATGGCAAGATTATTAAAAAGTCAAATTTTGCCGATATAATTAGTAGACTGTCACTCTTCGTAGGAGTGAATGCCCTTAAATGAGGATTTTTTTTACCCTCTTTTGTGTTTTGAGCAAAACTAAAGAAGATAAAGAGAAACTAAACAGACTAAAATAAATAAAGGCAACAGTAGTATACCGCTGTTCCAAACTCATAAATCGATAGAGATAAAAACAAATCCGGGTTACAAACTAAAACTGAGGGAAAAGCATCAAATATAAGAGGAGAACAACGACACAACAAAAACACAACATTAAAAATGTAACACACACAGAAACGAACTATAATATAACAATGGCCATTTTCCTGACTTGGTACAGGACATTTTAAGAAAAAAATGGTGGGTTGAACCTGGTTTTGTGGCATGCCAAACCTCCCGCTTTAATGGCAACGTCAAACACAACACCAAAACGACAACATCACATGACAGGACCTCAATACAAATAAATGGGAGAACTTATAGGACAAAGAAACACACGAATAATAGCTAACAAAAGGTACTAGGCTGAAAATTCAATACGCCAACTGCAACTTGTAAAAGATCAGTAATACTAGATCAACAAAATTAGAGATTTCTGTCATGAAGTCTGTTCTTGTCTACAATGTTGGAGATCTAGAGTGTCCTTTGTTTGAAATGCACATAGACCAAGGTGAGCGACAGAGGCTCTTTAAAGCCTCTAGTTTTGTTCATTTTTCTGTATTCTTTATATTTTTTGCCCATTATTTTCGATTCTGTAAACCCTTATCCACACCCTCTTATAATATTTAATATACATATACAATGTATATTCTCTAAAAAAAAAACAAGATGATCAAAGGAAGTGATTTCTGGTCTTCATGTAATAAGTTAAGTTTTTGATTAAACATGTTGATTGATTTTTTTATACATGATAATGTTCACAATGCATTTCTTTAATCTTTGATTCAGCCATGCTGGATCTATGCGATCACTCTGGTTTTGGAGATGGTGCAGAATACTAAGTTGAAGACATATCATGAAACTAATTATGTGTTTTTATGACTTGCAGAAACTTTCTGCACCATTTTAATCATCAACTGCCAACTTTCGACATGTTATTTACCGTTCAATTAAGAAAAGATTGGTCGAACAACCTTTTTTTTTTAGATATACACTTGCATATAGTTCCTTTGTAAATCAAAATTTATAATGATTTACTATTTATGAATTAATTTGAAAAAGTATTTGTACATCAATTGAATCAGTTGATAAGAATTTTGAAAGTATTATATTAGTATCTTATGCTTGTGTAAGTTCTTGTTCAATGAAATTTGGGTCAACATGTGTATTAATATATCTAAGTTGATTCCCACACTTTTTTGAAATGGTATTACTCCAATTCTTTCCATAGGCAAGTAAGAGTCAGTATGATTATCAACTGCCATGATTTTCAAATAATTACACTCAAAGGTGTAAGTATTAATTGGAAACAACCCGAGTCTTAATTCACCACAGTTAATATCTCATGAACTGTTACATAATTAAATAATCACAATTTATTACACACCAAACTGAATACACACATTCTTGACCTCAGTAGTAAACATACAAATGTATTATTTATTTTGATCTATACTAAATTAAAATATTCTGTTTATTTTGCTAGCTAGCTGAATGATTACTCAGTTGTGGATTTTTTTCAAAGAAAAGACAAAAAATGAAAAAAAAATATTTATAAAAAATGCAAGCAAATTTTATTTCACTTGTAAAATCAGTGTCATTATCATCTGACATAAGTCAATAATCAAGTTCTAATTAATTAGTTTCAATTATCAGAAATTTGGTTGAAACAATAAACAAAATTGCATAACTCTTACCTGAGCATTTTCTGCAATAAAATTTATTTGTTTGTTCTACATTTATATCCCATTAAATTGCTATTTAACAGTAATTGGAAATATCTCAGCATTAGGTATTTGTACGTTTAAATTTGAATACAGGAAATGTATTTTTTCTGAATGAAGAATGAACACCAAAAATAGTTATTATATTTTAAAAAATTCTGTTGTTGAGAAAATGCATTTCCAAGGCCTCTTTCTGTTAATTATTAAGCCAGTTATTATTAAAGGCAGATAAAAAATATATATTACTTGTTTGACGATTACCCTTTCCAATCTTGTCAATATCATTAAATTGCAAATACTTATAAAAAAGAATCTGACGGAGTCTAAAATTGAAATATCAATATATATATATAGATCAATATTTGCATCAATATTGCGAAATTTTCTACCTTTGGACAATAACATAGACATTTTACAGTAAGATTGGAAATGAAAAGAGAAAAACATATTGAAAAAAGTATGGTCAGAAAGAATATCAGACTAGCTATGAATATGGCTGGATCACAACATCGACGATGCTTTGATTTATCCCTTAAAGATATGTACATATTTTTACAGATGCTAAATTATAACAAGAATAGAAATATTTCAGATATAAGGTTTAAACGATTTCAGTGATTTTGTTGGCTGTTGTTATGTCAGTTAAAAAATAGTTATATAACTATTGTATGTAACCATGAAACCTATGTAGTTTTTAATTGAGAATTTAGGAGAATTAAGTTTTGTTAGGAAAAAACACATGGCAAACAAGAAGCAACCGTATAAGGTTGTATTACCCTCAGTACAAAGGTGTTTTTCAGGTAAAAGAAAATCTTTTTTTTTACCACTCAGACTTTATATTTATATAATTTCACTATCTCCTTTTGATAAATCAGATACTCGTGTAATGATGTAAAAACCTGTAAATATATCTTTACTTTATTGTGACTGTTGTCATAGTCAGTTAAAAAGATAGTTTACTTATATTAACAGTTAAAATAAAAAAAAAAAAAAATTGAGTGGTTATTAGGTGAAGAATGGTTGAGACTGGTTGCGGATTATTCAGATCTTTGGTCGAGTATGGTTCAGACTGACAAAAATAAGTCAAGGTCTGGTCAAGTATTTGTCAAGAATGGGTTAGGACTGTTTCAGACTGGTCGAGTAATAATTTTACCTTTTTTCAAAGACAAAGTTAAGGGTCAAGTACAGTCGAGTATAGTTTAAAAGATTGGAAGTAAAATTCAGAACAATTCAGAGTGGTCGAGTAAAATCAGTACAGTTTAGTACAGATATAGGCCATTTCAGACTTACTGGTTTGTTGTGATTGTGCTTCTTAGAGGTAAACAGCTCCTCTAGTGCCTCTAATAGTGTTGTTAATGATAAGCAAAAATTTGGCTTCACATTGAAGCCTTTAGTATAAGTAAACATATGTTTTCTTTATTTTAGAAATATGACGATTGTTAAGTGATTTATAGGCAAAAAAGAAGATATTCAGATAAATACTGGATACTGATATGCATATCAAACTAAATTGTAAATTCAAAATATCAACTCTGTTAAATGATATTTTATTTACAGAATTGTCCACATGGAAGACCAACAATGAGACATTTAATTAACCTGAATATGGTTCCAAGATGATCCCATGGTAACATTAGGCACCACCAGAGATGTGTTCTGTTTTTTAAAGATATAAATTTTTAATAAAACATACATTTTATTATTCTTGTTCATTATATTGTTCATAAGAAATCAGCACTCATTACCATATTAAAAGTACCTTATTTTAAGTTAGATTTTGAAGCATTTTTAAATTGCGTTTTTTTGGATAATCTTCTATGAACGTTTGCTAGATCTGCTGTAGCTTTTACTATTTCTGAGATTGGTTTTGCGTAATATGTATTGCTATATAGTTATGAAAACTTATATTTTGGCATTGCATATGATCATGATTTTCTCAGACTGTTTATGATGTCTGTCTTTACTTCTGGTCTTGCATCCTATTGATACTTATATTTTGGCATTGCACATGATCATGCTTTTCTCAGACTGTTTATGATGTCTGTCTTTACACTTTATATATTGGTTATGTACTGATTGATATTTAAGTTTTAGAAGATATGGTTTATGTTTTAGTTGAAACTGGCTTTGAATTAGTTTACCGTATCTGTGAGCATTCTAAGATAAGTACATTGTGTCATTTTTTTCCTTTTTCGTAGGTTGTTTGTGTGCTTCTTGCCTAGCTTCAGAAGAGTTGAGCCCTTTCCAACTGATTTTTACAGTTTGGTCTTTTGTTCTTTTACAGTCCACTGTACGAAGTTAGGGAGAGTGTTGTGCGCAGAAAACAAGATTAAGTAGTTTACCCAGGAGGTTAAAATCACGTAAATTGATTGAGAAAAGACAAATTAAGTTAACAAACATGAACAGGAAATCGAATGAAACGAGTGCGTTAACAGCTATATTATATACATGCATCACCTGTCATACAAATTCACACTCAGTAAAAATTTCACATTCGGGTATAAAACAATTGGTACGATTGCAGATCAGACGACTACTGGTATCTTAACTTTTACATACATATAAAAGATAAAAATAAAATAGCTGTAAGTTTAAGGTTTAGCAATATTAGTGGTCATGTGCTCCAAGACCTGAAGGGTTAGCAAGGGCCAGAGAATCTCTTGCTAAACGTGTAAGAATATATGCAGGATAAAGGGTTGTCTGTATATTGGGCTCTGGAGAAAGTTTTGTGACCTACCGAATTAGACTTATTACCGGGATTGTACTAACATGAGCAACACGACGGGTGCCACAGACGGAGCAGGATCCGCTTACCCTTCCGGAGCACCTGAGATCACCCCCAGTTTTTGGTGGGATTCGTGTTGCTCAGTCTTTAGTTTTCTATGTTGTATTTCGTTCACTATTGTTTGTCTATTGGTCTTTTTTCATTTTTAGCTATGGTGTTGTCTGTTTATTTTTCGACATATGAGTTTGAATGTCCCTCTGGTATCTTTCTCCCCTCTTTTGGTTTCCAGATACCAAACGTGTCATACCGATGAAGCATATAGTCCTTGTTTGGTCGCGTTTGATTTCGAACCTAACTCGAATATACCATTATGGATGGTTAACTATTTCTATAGTTGAAAATTAGGCAATACCAGGACATGTTTTATATTTCCCTTCTCACTTACATGTTTTATAATTAATCTGGTCTACAAAATCATAACATCTGTAGGTAACTGCCTTTACAGCCCATTTGCGCTTTGATTATAATATTTTGTTATTTTGTGCTGTTACACCAATGTTCAAGGTAAAGGTTGGGACACAATAACATGGTTAACCCAAGGAAAGGCGAGGAGGGGGGGGGGTGGCGTTGTGCAGCCAGCAAGCATGTTTAAACCCTTACACACTGTATATGTCTTGCCAAAGTCAGGCGTTTGTAATTCACTGCATTTATTTTTCTCTTTTGAATTGTTTTACATTTTCCATGTCATGGCCTTACATAGCTTGCTTTGCAGTAAGGGTTTTGCTCATTGTTAAAGGCTGTACATTGATCTATAGTTGCTCAGTTCTACATCATTGAGTCTAGGGTGGAATGTTGTCTCATTGTCTCATCGACAATCTTACCATATGTAGATAAAATATATAGCTATATGCTGTTCAAGAATATATAAAAATCAAAAGCAAGCCTCATAACTGGTTTCACGAAAACAGCATTGATATTTAATTGAAATCAGAAGTACACATGAATACAATTATATCATTAGAGAGAATATCTTATTACCAATAAAATAAAATGGTAAACATATTCCACATGTAGTTTATCAAAATGTTCTGATCAATTGTTAAAACTCCTATACACTTTAATTACAACTTGACACTTGCCTATACTTCCTCTCACGATATATTTAAGCACACACCAAAATTCTTTACTTGTGATGAATCTGTAACACTTCTTATCATTTGATAGAAAAGAGTCTTCAGTGTTTATCTTATTCATAAGATAAACTGAAGTTTACCAAGAATCTGTCGAAGTAATCACCAATAAAACCTGATGACTCATTATGTTTACTAAAGCAAATACACTGAGGAAACGTAAGTCCATCCTCTTGATTTATTAGCACTTGACTACCCTGTCCATCTTTTGATATTACTATTATTCTCTTAGATTTACCGTCTGCTACTATAATGTTGCCATAAGTATCTGTACAAAGTCCCCTTGGTCCAGTTAAATCCTGTTTATATTGCCAGATCTGTTTACCTGATTCATCAACAGAGCTTACAGCCTTACCATTACTATCACTGTAGGTTACTCTGTCATTACAGTAAACCAGGTGAAACAGGTATGATACACTCTCAACTTGTATTGACTTCAATATAATACCTTCCAGGTCTATAATGCGGATTTCATCTCTATCCAAACCTACAGCCAGAGAATTATTGGCGAATGACAAACCCCTGCATACTTTGTCTAATTTGATAACTTTAGTAACTTTTGTATTCTCCATATTAAAGATCTTAATGGCTTTCTCGCCAGGATAAGTTAAGGCAATGGTATACTGATTGATCTGTGTAACACTGTAGGCTTCGCCAGGTATTAAGAAATGTTTCTGAATTTTGCTAGCAACAGTAAATAAGTTAACTGTACCAAACTGTGTAATTGCTATAACACTACCATCCATCAGACAAATAATGTTCCTAATCCACGTCCCAATGTTGATCTCCATCTTTGTTTCAATCTTCATGGTCATAATTTTTATGTTGGATCGTTGTCGTGTTACTACTTGTGCTTCCCTCTTCACGTCTGTTTCTCTTTTCATGGGTATATGTGTTTTAAAAACTGCTACTTCTCCTAGGGATTCTAGCGATCCTAATTTGTTGATGGTCTTTTCTATTTCATCATTTTGCTCCATTTTGATTTTAAATTCTTTAGTCCTGTCATCATCCTCCAGATCATCAACATATCGTTGACACCGGTGTACTTGTTTTTCAAACTGATGTACACCTAGGAATGATTGCAGTTTTGAACTATGTGTTATGACTGTATGGAGATAGTCTTTCATTTCATCCAATTGTTCTTTTTTTTCTTCATGTTCAGTAATTAAATCTGCTGCTTTTGATTTTTCTTTATTCAAGACGGTCTTTGTTTCTTGGCATAACTTCTTCTCTAGTTCGTCTAAATGTTCATTTATTTTCTTTCGAAATTCTGCAATCCTGCCCTTGATGCCGTCACACTGTTGTTCACCTCTTTTGATATTTTCTGATTTGTTGGTCTCAATTTTAATCAAGATGTCTAAGATGGAGTTTATATCTTTATCTAAAGATTCTTTTGATTTTTCCATTTTGGTTTCCTCTACTACATTAGCTAAACTTTTTATTCCAGTACATTTTGAATGGCTTGTAGGAATACATTCTTCACAGCAAGGCATTAGATGACGGGGACAGTACAAGTTGAGCTGTTGACCATGTTTGTCACATTCTGTTTTAATAGCTTTTATGAATGGTTTATAACTTTTAATATCAATGGTTTTATGATCACGTGACGATTTAGATCTTTTATGATGACTTGAACATGTTGAGCATAATCCTTCATCACAGTTGTAACACCAGAATTCAGCTTTTGTGTTTGCTATTCTTTCGTGACAAGGCCCACATGGTATATGTTTACTTGATGTCATGACCTATGATGAAATAAAAGGTAAATAATTTGACTTAATTACTAGGGTCTAACTGGAAGAGATTTTTTTTTGAAGACATCATGACCTTATTTGGACAATAAGTAGATCTCATCATGAGATATTACCAGATGAGGCTGCGTAGAGTTATATCCCTTTGAAACAATTTCTTTTATTTGCATTTTCTTTTAAATTAATGCAGATAGAATCGATCTGAAAATGGCAACATATACAGGAACAGATGGCAATGTTAATAAATAAGCAATTATTTTGTTATCAACCTTATAAGAGTTATTTCCCTTGATATATAATACACAATTTATTACATAATTTATTAGGAAAACGATAAGAGATCGCTGCATACATTAAATGATCCTCTCAAAGATCTCTACATTTTATACAGTAAGCCCAAAACTGTCCGACCATCCGTTCAAAAGTTACAACGAGATAATTCATAAAAGTAAAGTATTTTGTGTATATCTTTAAAACGGTAACAGATGTCATCCTACTATAAACTGCAAAAATGATCATTAGTTCAAGATTTTCAATTTGAGGTCAAAGTCAAGGTCATGATGAAATTGTACCTTGACCTTCAAAGTGTACAATGACCTTTACCTTGTGACATTTGAAAGGTCAAGTGGTCCTGAGTTGAATTTTAGAAGTCCCATGTCTTTACGACTTCAGTTCTCAAGTTTGGTATTGCATCATATATTTGATTATTCATAGTGACCTTAATGAACTTCTGAATTGTCCAATGTTTTTGTAACAGTGTTGTATGTCATCTGCAGAACATCTTCGCTACGCAGGTTTGAGATATTGTTTGTCATTTTTGAGATATTGGATATCAAATTTTTTTTGCATTATACCCCACATTTCCTTTAAATCTTAATTGCTATATACCCCATACTTTCTTAGTCGTAATTGCTGTATACTCCACATTTCCTTTTAATATGAATGCTATAAAACCCACATCTCCTTTAAGTCATAATTACTATAAACCCCACGAATCTTAATTGCTATATACCCCATCTTTCCTTAGTCATAA